TGGAGTTCTTTTAATTAAGGTATTATTCATAAAATCAAAATTTGACAAGATATTTATGTATGTTTCTTTTTCTTTAAAATACAAACAGTGTATACAACAACCACCTTTAATATATGACCACATTACTTCTGATACTTGACGTTCTGGCATAGACATGTGAGGCATATATTTTAATATTAAATTTTCATGATCATGTTTTCATATTAAACATCAAAAGACCCAACTTCTTTTTATTCACTTTTTTATTCTTCGGGAAAAATTAATTTCTACTTAACATTAACTAGGCACCGCTTCTCAAATAGCATTTTTTATCATTCAAATTATAAATTTTAAAACGCAGTTCGTCTATTATAATGAGTTCACACTTAAGTAGGTATTTTCAACCAAAAATTCAATATTCAATGTCAAAAGAAATGACATAGCTTGTATTATATTTATAGCTTATTTTAATCTAAAGAAATAATAACCGTATATATTATTTTCAATACAAAGATTTGATCAATACCTGATAAAGGATTGGTAATACGGCCTGCGTTGCCAGTGACAAAAAAAGTCAACAAACAACAATGGGTCATTTGGTAGTTATGGACTATATTGACATACTTTAAACGTACACGGCATGTTTATTCTTGTATCTTATGTTAATTCAGAAAGAAAAAAAGAGCTTTTTAAGGGGATTATATTGATCGGCGTAACATTACTATAATGTTAAAATCTGCCATTGGCATTGACCGAAAAATGACCATATATTATTAAATTTTCTCATATCGGGGCGTACAGTAAAAATAATGTTGAAGAAATTTTTATAATCAAATGAAATATTTCAACAGATTACGTTGAGCATACCATTTCAGTGATAAGATTATTTAAAACTACCAAAGTGTGTCTTTTTATCAAATCATAAAAAAAGTATATCTCCGTGTTTTAGCTATATAAATAAGGTTTACTTCTGTTATCTTTCAGATGACCCTGCCACTTTAATATAGGTGAATCTCCCGTCCAATCTGTGTCACATTCTGACTTTAGTCCTGCGATCTGGTATTTTAGTTAAATTGGAAGGTTGGGAGGTGGACAGGACCTAGTTTTAAATCAACATTTGTCGTAAATTAAAAAAAATTATCGCCACATGGGACGCTAGTTTTGCGCCACTATATTTGTATGTCGAAATCTAAAGCGCAATTAAATAGCTTCAGAGCTGCACATTTCACCATGATTGTAATTTTCCCTTTGTAAGGAGGGGTAATCGGTTAAGATTATGAATATTTTAATTTAATTGACGGGGATGGTTTACTTCGGACAACAGATCCATTCCGGAGTCGAAGTAACCAGAATCTAATAATTCAGAGCTTACTATTTACCATTACTTGTAACAAACATTAAGTTTGGTGGTTTACTGGACAACGAGAATTACTCGTACAACTCAAACTATGCGACGTTAGTAACATTAACTCGTCCAATCAAATTATGACGTCACGTAAATTAACTCGTCATACTCAAAACTCTGACGTCCGTAACAGTATTTCAACAACTTCAATCTTACACACTAACTTACGACGGTTTCTCGTAAGTATTTATTGAATATTACTGCAAACACCATCGTCAACCGCACATAACCATAGTTCTTGTATAACCTTTGCAAACGTACAGACGCATGAAATTTGGTAACTGTCCACTACTGCAAAATACGGTGAGTTTCTGTTTAACATATAATCATTCACATTAAACTTACGACAATTTAGTGGAAGGTTATTCAAACTTCAACTTACAACGTCATGATGTCTGCTGTTTTCCAAACTGGAGACTTCGGCTCAGTAAACATGTTATCAATAAAAACCAAATTACAGTCACGTAATCTTCGCCGAGTAACTTGTGAAAAGCTCAAGACTTCGAAGTCACGTTACTTTAACTGCCAACATTCACAACTTATCTATATCATTAACAGTTTGTATTTTACTCGGAAACAAACTTCTACATACTCAAACTCATGACGTTACGTCACATCTAACTCGTCCCCACTCAAAATTATGACGTCACGTATTATGTAACTCGTTCATTACTCAAACTTACGACGTCCCGTAACATGTTACTCGTTCATACTCAAACTTTCGACATCCTGTAACATGTAACCCGTTCACACTCAAACTTACGACGTCACATAACATGTAACACGTCTACATTCTAACTTAAGACGCGAAGAAACATGTAACTTGAACACACTCAAACTTATGACGTGTTAAAACCTGTATCTACTCAAACTCACTATGTCAAATAACTCATAACTCGCACACAAATTTACAACGTAATGTAACTCGTAGAACGTGATGAAACTTACACTCAAACTAACGACTGTAACTGTACCATGTTTTTTTTTTGTTGTTGTTTTTTTGTTGTTGTTTTTTTTTTTTTTTTGGGGGGGGGGGGGGCATCTTTTTTATAGTGGAAGATAATTAAGTATTTTTAGTGCATGATTTCCTTGTTCTAATGAATCGTATGAAAACATAGAATATGATTTCACTTAGAAAGAAATCCGTACTTTAAAAATTGTCACGATAGCTAACTATTTTAGTTATTTCAATTTTAGACTAATGTTCGATGATTTCGTCAATTTAAACTTTAAAGGGCTTATTATGCGTGTTTATAACATTGAGCTATTTAAACATGTCACACAAACGGTATTTTGGATATCTGAAACTTTTTTAAAATCATCTCGGTCATTGTACTTGGCTATTCAATGTTTGTTCAATTGATAAACAATAAAAGCCGGGTCGATCTATTATGGATACGGTAACGACAACAATTTCTACATAAGTAGTTTGATCGCATTTTCTGACACGCTCTAAGACCCCCCTTTAACCGAGTATCGTGTTGCGTTGTAATAACTTTTAGCAGACGAATTTTTGTTTAAAGCAGACGACACTTTTAGATTTTTGTAGCTTTAATTGATATGACTGCAAAATATATGTTTCCGTTTTACTAACACATTTTCGTACTTATACTTTTGAAGTAACAAGTTATAGGAAAGGGCCCCTATATTCAAAATATTATATTTTTTTATAGTTATCGGCTGTTTATTTGCAACGAGGCATTCTTTATCAGAACTTGTTCTATCAAAATACCAAAATAACATCAAAGGAAGTCTTCCGCCGTGAGTGCAGCTGGGAAATTTGCTATATGACCTTGAAAGGTGCCCGTGTGACTTAAACCCCAACAAAACAAAAAAAAAATTGTTATATCAAATTAACCATTTACCCTGCCTTCATTTTCACTGTATGGAAAACAAAAAGCATTTTATTTATAACCCATAAAGAGCTTGGTGAGCAAAATGTCCGTTTAGAAATAAATATTACTGTATTCAAAATATGATCTACAATTAACCAAAAGGGTGTTGCGTTTCATTGGAAATCCTAAGTCTAAAATATGTATTGAGACCAAAACTGGGACAATTAACATTTCGAAGACAATGCCCCAACTTATGACTTTTGAATTGGTGAATAGCGATGCAGACGAACATTTACACACTGAGGATTGAAGCGGGTGCCATTGCGTTTTGCACCTTTCCTAAGGAGAATGAACTGAAAAGTTGTCTAAAACTTTGACTAAAGATGAAAATATGTATTGAAAATGTCTAATATTTTGGTCCTAGGACTTAGGACACACTTACGACTATCTATGAAACGAAGCCCGGGCCCAGTGACCTGTCCCTTAAAAAATCACTCTCTGCGCAGGGCGATCCGTCTTTGGAAAACTACCATGAACTCCACCATGTTTGATTTTGGAGTGGTTTTGATTTAGTACAATCATAGGATACCTTTAAAACACTCATAGACTTAGGACTGTTTTTGGTCATTAATATAATAAATATAGGAGTCATAACTTAGAACCGTCTTTAAGACTTTCTTTGAAACGCAAAATTGCCTCAATTTTTATCCTAGGACCGACCTAAGACTTAGGACTCTCCATGAAACGAACGCAGGACTGCATTCTATTATTCTAATGTAACACATGTAAACATGTTATTCAAATAAATTAAAAGGAAAAATAAACCGGTATTTGGCTTAAAATGCTGGCAATCTTTTGAACGCTCAATGTTAATTTGTTGTTTTGATAGTTTTATTTTTCAGTGACAATGTTGGTTTCATAAAATTTCAGGACGATGGTAACTGTTATAAGATTTCAGCACTAATGTACAGATATATAATTTCAGCACTAATGTACAGTCATAAAATTTCAGCACTAATGTACAGTTTTAAAATTTCAGCACTAATGTACAGTTATAAAATTTCAGCATTAATGTACAGTTATAAGATTTCAGCACTAATGTACAGTTATAAGATTTCAGCACTAATGTACAGTTATAAGATTTCAGCATTAATGTACAGTCATAAAATTTCAGCACTATTGATATTACAGTATGTTTATAAATGGTTAGGTCGTATCAGGTCTAATGTACGGTTGTAAAATACCAGCACTAATGTATACTTACAAAATTTCAGTAATAATATATTTTTTTATTAAATTTTAGCACTTATGTGCAACAAAAAATATGAAATTTCAGTACAAATGTACTGTTTACATAAAATTTCAACACTACCGTAAAAGAACGTTTATGAAATTTCGGTACTACAAAATACGAGACGGAAGTCGTGCTGTTGTCAATCGTATAGTCAAAGAAACACACCCACAATATATATGTCATGTTTAAATGATCTGTTATGTATGTCTTGTAAAATGAAAAACTTTATTGAAATCCTACAGTAGGTTATGTCTTTTGTTTTAGTAAAAATGTGACCATTCAGTCGGAAAATGAATGCTCTCCGTAGGTTTGAAATTCAATATGAAAAATATGTTTAAATGTATCAAATTGTTTTCTTTTTCTTTTTTTTTTGAAAGGCTTTCTTACTTATCTAAGACTGGTTCGCTGGTAAAAACAAAGGGAATGAAAAGTTTTCAATAGTATCCAATGGTTGGAAAGAATAAATAAATAAAGTTTCCTTATTTATACGACCGAGACTCCAACATTACCCTCACAACGTTCTTTGGAAACATAACCTTCACTTGGTTTGAAGTTCTCTGTTTTCGTAATAAAAAAGGAGTAGCAGATTCAAAATGACAGTAGATTTAGTAAACCGTGACCCCAACGACATTAATTGTCACATCAAGGTATGCTTATGCACAAGCCAAAAATGCACGAGCTCGAAATGCACGAGACATCATTAACTTATTACCTTCTTGTAAAAGAATCGTCGGAGAGCATTTGCTCCTTATAGATCATAAGCTGTAAAAATAACTTAATATTTCTTTTAAATATTTGTTAACAATTTTAAAAGAGCATTAGAAATAAAAACTAGAATAATTTTGTTAAAACCATTTGCATTTTATATGCTGTTTGTGTACATGTATACTTTATTCTGATTCTTCTTCTTCTTTTTTGTATTATTATTATAATTCATTTTATGTGGTTGTGGATTGTGATTAAAGGTATGTGAAACTAACATAAATTTTATGTATTTTACATCACTACTAACTTATTTACTGCATTTCAAAAATAAGAATAATTTATTTTGAAAGAAACGCAATTCTTTCTTTTTGAAGAAAAGGGAGATATATTTTGTTCTTTTCCAAGGGTGGGGGTGAGTGAATGAATTACACTGAATAAAGAAGACCATACTAACATAAAATATTCATCATTTTATTCATATGAGCTCCTCATTTTATTCATTTTTCTTTTTTCTTTTTTTAATCAAATACAAAGTTTTCTTCTATTTTTTTTCACAAAAAAGGTTTGTGTGAACAGGTTTTCCTCTATCGATAATTAATACTTAATACATTTAAATGGAAGGACAGCTGGTCATTTTTTTCTGTCTTTAAGCGTGCGCGTGTTTATAAACTGTACTGATATGCGCCCATTCCTGCCCGTACTTGACATTACTATTAGAAGAAAGGTTAATCATGAAATTAATGAAAATGAATGGAAAACATATTGAGTCTTTACTCATGAAAACTTCACAAAAATAAATATGTTATGTTTTAAATTGTACACACTATAAGTGGTCACAATATGCACATAAAGTGTCATTTTAAAAACTGGCAGTTTTATTTTAAAGAAAAAGACCATTTTTGCTTGTACTGTAATAGGGAACGCATCTTCCCATACATAGTTAATTCATTCTTTTATTTAAATAAGACACATTCAGTAAGAATTTCATAGATTTTAATAGCTTTCTGTGATTGAAATATTCCACTCAATGATGGGCATAGTATATCTTTAAATTGAAACTTCAAAGTATTGCATCGAACGCTATTTTCTTTTGAAATTATAATAAAACTTTGCAAGTTTTAGATTTGGTCCATTGGTTTCAAAAGAAGATGACGATTTCTTAAAGAAAAGTTAAATCAGATGAATTTAGATATTTAAATTCATTTGAAAGTATCATAAGTTTTAAGTTGCTCCTAAGATTGGAGTTAACATTTAACATAGAAAGGAATAAGGAATTTTAAAATGGGTCCCGATTTAACAAACCGTGACCCGAATGAAATTAACGGTCACGTGAAGGTAGGCTTCTGCACGGGATATAGGCCATTAGATGCACGAGCAATGCTTTTTTTATATTACAGTAATTTGTCTTGTATACTTTTTTGCGCTTATACAATGCTATACAGATAGGGTAAAGCTTTTAAAATGATATTATGATTTGAAATTAAAATGTACAAGCAAAATATGTTTTTAAAAGAATGGAATTGCGTTTTTCTAAATTCTAACAAACGATTAGTCAATGGCTCCCTCATATATTAGGTCTATATGATCTAGACACAGTTCTGTTGTAATGTCGTGGTGAAATGTGGCACTTGCAGCACCTACTGCACGTGTTTTCTCCCATTCCATCACTTGAAAGTAAAACATGGCAAAGTAAAACAAAATCTCACTGAAAAAAGCCATTTATACACTATCATTTACTCAACAATCATATTACGATGGCTTTATGGGAGCAATTTGGATATTGAACTGGTATTGAATTTAATTTGTACAACATTAAATTGGTCATTCTCGTGTCTCAAATACAATTATTTACTTTTGATAATCTGGCCAAACTCCACTTTTTCATAGTATCTGAATTACTTTTCATTGAGAAGGTTACAATTTCATTGTACCTTTTACATTATTACAAGGTATTGTTGGCATACTTTTACCAATATTTGAAATGCCCTCATTAATTATTTTGCTAACCTTGTGCTATTGTATTGGTTTGATTTTAACATACCTGGGAGGGCGTTGCTACCAACAGACAAATCCTGTGTCCAAAACATTCATTTATTGAATTGCTTCAAACACGCCAATTCATTGCCGTCTCTTGTATACCCTATTGAAATTTGTCAAGGGTTTACAGTTTATAACCGCTCCCGATACATACATAAATAATTAACACATGTTGCTCATTAAAGAAAAGAAGAAATAAAACAAAACTAATAATAATAGAACGACTATTGAATTACAATGTATATTTCATGATTTCAAAAACGTATTACCGAAACAAGTAAAAGCTAAGTTTAAATTAAGGGCCTAGCAGCGCGTAGTCTGTACATGAACGCAACGAAATTTTTGTTGATGATGATAAAAACGGGTCTGTTAACAATAATCAAATTCAAATTTAAAGCGCCCTGTCACTTCTGTAACAAAGTGTTATATATTTAGGACATAAAATAATTAATGTAATAGTATATAAAGAACTTTTATATGTTATTCTGTTGTTCGAATGTCATATTTAAAAAAAAATTCAAAAAACAATAACATAAAAATACAAAAAAAACAGCACTTTCACATAAAAAGATTGGCTGGTTCTTATCTTATAGCTATTCATATTAACGAGTAACATTTACACATCACACACCAGCCTCTGAACTATGCAAGAGTATATTTGAAACCATAAATAAACTGCACATTGAAGCAACTTAATTTTTCATCAATAAAATGTGGATGTTATTTACATTGTTGAATGAACTTAACAATATTTGCATTTACTTAAACCATTACGTATTACTAAAATTTGATACTGATTATAGTAATAAGACATATTTAGGTTTTTAGCATGCAAACTCAAGGCACACATTCATGTATGATTCTTGCAATGCACCCATCCCTCCCTCCCCGTACAGCCTCTCTCTTAATCTTCAAATTTTAAAATTAACACATATTATTAAAGGACTTAAAATATGTTTTTTTTCTGTTTTACCGTTTTTTTGCTTTGACTCTATAGTTCTTCAATAAAAAAACATTGGTAAATTATGGAATTTCGTGTCAGTGTTTACGAGCGGGAATGTTTTCGTACATGTTGCAACATTTCTCCAAATATAGCCTTTCCGTGACACGTACAAATCTAATTCAACGATTTTAGAACACTCTTAACAATTTAAGGTCAACGCTTAATAATAAGCCTTAGTTACAACCCAAATATTTACCCCACTATTGTCCCGTTGCAATGGCCTATATTTGTTAATCTATATCATTGATTTAACCTTACAATGGAATCAATCGATTAGGCATTCCCTCTATACGTTAAACAAGATATCTTTAAAGTGCTATGGGACAGATGTATGTGAACACAGACCTTTTGATTAAATCGGAAGAAACAATATGCCTATTAGTACATTTTATGGTGTAAAACGTGAGCTACTTGAGCAATGAGCATATGATAAAACTTGTTAAACTTTAATCACCTCTCCTATATTATCAACTTTTGCCTGTACTCCTTACCGTATAAAACTAGACCAATGTAATTCATAACTTGAGGCATAGTATCTTAAAACGCGCGCCTAGGCCCATAATACCATTAAAATACCATTAAAATCCCATTAAGATTTAATTTTTCTACAATGCTTAAAATTTTTATAATAATAGAAACCAACAATTTATCAATCTCTTTCATTTCATTAGGGCTTGGTCTTCTGTTATCAATCGTCTCTTTTGTATAAGATTCATGATGAAGCAGACTTTAAAAAATCTTTAATGAAAAATTATTTGTTCACAGAAAACAAAGTTATAATTTACTGTGATAATACTTGTTATTGGAAGATAATTAAGAACGAGAAAAAACAACTTCCACTTAAGTTTATGTGGTTGAGCTAAATCATTTCTTAAATGAGTATCGTGATTTGAATCAAAGTCCCCACTTTTGTTTCATTTGTGTCTCCAAAATGTGTTAGATAGTGGGTTTAACTATCTACATATTCGGAAATGGTATAGTTTTCATCACCACTTTAGTCTCGCCTTTGAAGTTATGTCTCGCCTTGATTTGTAACGCGTGTTTGTTTTTCTCGTCTGCGTGATAAAGATCGAGTATATACATGTTGGTAGGTAGGTTGTCAATGGTTTAGTATTGTTATGTTGTGTTTGAATGTCGCTATGGTTCAAATTGGACGATACTTACCCATGTCATTATTTCTACATACCACAACATATTTATTCTAAAGATTATAAACAAGAGAACAGATTGGTTTTGTTATTCTATACATAAATTACCCATTGGAACGTCTAAACCGATAAAATCAATAATCCATTCAAACAATAATCAACGAACTATTTCAATATTGATCTTTGGACTTTAGTGGCCGTACGAATGTTCGTTTCAACTGTTTTTTTATTGCAATTTTATAATTTTCAAAAAAAAGAAAAGAAAAAAATATCCAGAAAGCAGAAGAATATTTACCTACAGTGTTGAAACATTTAATTTGAAAACATATTACAATAATTTTTTATGTATTTAACCATTTTTTAAACGCGGTGATTTTTTTTATACATATTTTACTTGAAGACCCCATTAAAAAACTTATCCATGCTTACTTCAGTCCAGAATGTATGTTGATATCTATGTCTTCCATAAAACGTAGATTGAGACTACACCAAAATGGCAAACTATGAAATTCGGAAAACATTTTGCTCTCAACAATAGAATCGATGGGACAATTATACAGAGATTTTGAGTATTATAATCTATAATCAAGTGGCGGCAATTATAGACATATACGACATGTTTTATAGTCAGTAACCACCAAAATGAAATCTGCAGATTAATTACCATTATTGTTTTTTTATCATTTGTATCAAAATGCATAAAGAAGCTCTTTTTAATATAAAATTTGCCCTTAACTGGCGCTGCGTTCTGTTATTAACTTCGGTCAAAGAAAACGAAATAAAGCCAAAAATAGGCCTAACTTTTTAGATTTACTACCTATGGTGGGTGATTTGTGCCATTTGTGTTTTCGCCCCGCGACCCCGCCAAGCGAAAAATCGAAAATTAACAAGTTAAAATGGCGGGGAGCGGAGCGAAAACACGCTAATTAGCGCGGGGGCGGGGAGAAGTTTAATAAATAAAACTTCGCCACGCACCCACGCTTATTAGTGTGTTTTCGTCCCGCGACCCCGCCAAGCGAAAAATCGAGAATTAACAAGTTAAAATGGCGGGCGCGGGGTGCAAAAACACGCTTATTATCAGGGGCGCTTATTAGCGTGTTTTCGCTGCGCGCCCGCGCCGTTTTAATTTTTAAATCTCGCTCCGCGGCCCCGCGCGGCGAAGTTTCATTTATTAAACTTCGCCCCGCGCCCTCGCTAATTAGCGTTTTCTGCGTCCCGCGATCTTGCCATTTTAACTTGTTAATTCTCGACTTTTCGCTTGGCGGGGTGGCGGGGCGAAAACACGAATTGCACAAATCAGCAACCATAACTACCAGAGTGGGAACATATCCTCAGGACATGTGAGAAACTTTGCAATGCAACAGTGCAATTAAGAAGGTAGTACCAGTCTTCTTTACCTTTACACATTGTTTTTTCTTTCAACTGATATATATATATTTGTTTTGCTGTGAAATGCACGAAGTAATTATTTGTTATAGATGATGTGACACAGTATTATCTTGCCAGAAATAATTCTTAAAACCACGTTATTTTTATTCCAGGCAGAGTTTGAAGATGTTCTTGGTGAACCCGAGGGAGTTCGGTCTATGGAATGCATCTGGAAGTTGTCCTACAGATGTTTCAGCCTCTGGAGGGATTGCTGTTACAAGCTGGCTACACTGTTGTGCGGAATTTGTATGGCTGCATGTCTCGGGTGCCAGTTTGCTGGTGTAGCTCTTGAGCATATCTGGTGTGTTACTCCAGGAATGAGGATGTGTGAGATCAATTGTATTGTATTCAGGAAGTGTTACAACATGTGTATCGACTGTTGCGCTGGTCCAATCTGTGAGGCTGCTGGTCTCTGTTTGAGCAAGATAAAAATAACTAAAGCTTAGCCAAGTGAAATAAACTAAGACACAATAGCTGTGTAATGTATTCTAAATATAATCATGTTACAGTGTAAAAATATTTATTATAATATCCGGCAGGCAATGTGTATTTTAAGACTTGTGAATGACTTCTTTGAATGAACAAGAAAATACAAACAAACATTGCAAATGAATGAAAGAATAAAAATAAATGATCAATTATTAAAGTTTTCGAGTTTCTTTTATTGTGTATGGTCCATGGCCAGCTGTCCATTAGCATACATATAAATGTAGGGAACAGCAAAGTAAAACAAACAGAAGCATATATATATATATAATTCAAGAATACAATAATACAAGGATATAAGACTATAACAAATTCATTGACCACACTATCAAAACCATTGATTCAGTCAATATTGCAAATTGTAATTATAAGCTGCATGTCTCCAAATGGCCAATCTATTTCGAGAAAACTGAACTTCAGAAAAATGTACTTAGATTCTAAGGAAAGTAAAAATATTTAAAAATGAAGTAATAATTTCCAAGCAATGTGCTATTATGGACTGTTTTTGCAGTATTTATAGCCATATTTCTACTGCGTTAATAATACAATGACAGCTTGTGTTGCTTTATATACATCATTTTGGTAATGTACGTTGATTGAAAGTGCTGTTTGCAAATTCTTGGTTCATTTCACAATATTTTACTTTTAAAAACAATTTTAAATTTTTTCAAAAAATAGCATGACACTGAAGACATGCTGCTTTAAATTATCAAATACAAATGCATGTAAAAAGATACATTTTTACAACTTCTTTGAATGTAAACTTGAGACCGCTAGAAGATGTAAATAGCTTCTTTCAAATATTTTCAAATCAAACCTAAGAAATAATTCAAAATGAATGAGACACAAGCGTGATACCTTTTGCTTTGATGAATTTTCAAATATAATGTCAACTTTTAAAAAATGAGTTCGCGAAAAAGCATGTATCCTCTTTAATAGAATACGCCACGTGAGTTTGAAGATGTGCTTTGTGAACCCGAGGGAATTCGTTCCACTGAATGTTATTGGAAGTTATCCTAAAGATGTTTCAGTCTCTTGAGAGATTGCGGTTACAAGCTGGCTACACTGCTGTGTGGAATTTGTATGGCTGCATGTCTTGGGTGTCAGTTTGCTTGTGAAGCTCGTAGGCATATCTGGCTTGTGACTCCAAGAATGAAGAAGCGTGAGATCAAATTCATTGTACTCAGAAAGTTCTACTCTATGTGCATTGACTGTTGTTATGGTCCAATCTGTGAGGCTGCTGGTCTCTTTTTGAGCAAAATAAAAATAAAATGAAATAAACTAAGACACAATAGCTGTTAAATGTATCTTTAACATTATCATGTTACAGTGTACAAATATTTATTCTGAGATCCGTCAGGCAATGTGGTTTTATTCCGAAAAGAAAAACAACTTGTGAAACGACTTCTTTGAATGAACAAGAAAAAACAACAAACATTGCAAATGAATGACTGAATGAATGAATTAATTAATAAAATAAATGATCAGATATTAACGTGTTCGAGTATCTTTCATTGTTTGTAGTTCATGGCCTATAATCCGTAAGTATACATAAGTAAAGTAGGGAATATAAAAGTAAAACTAACAGAAGCATATAACCAATCCCTTTTTAAACTATATTGACCGAATACAAGACTCTAGCAAATTCACTGACTACAAACAAACCATTGATGCGGCCAATATTGCAAATTGTAATACAAATTATTAGATACAAATGCATATAAAATGTGGAAGTTTTACAGTCATGATACAGATGTCTGAACAATGGCATTTTATTTCGATCTATTCGTGTCTGATCTTTACTCATCATATCCTTCTTCTCCTCCGTTCTTTTATCACCTTTTGGTTGAGGATGTTGCAACTATTCTACGTACAAGGAAACGTATCATCATCATAAACAGTGCCCTTAAATACCAATGTCTGCCTTCTCATGACTAATTATAACCACTTTGTGTTGATGATCGTTGGGAATGGACTAGTGTTTCAAACAAATTAATCTGTTCATGGTAAGATGTTCTGATAATTTATTGGAATACTCAACGTTTACCCATAACCTGCTGATATTTATGTAATAGATTGGTTCTACATTGAATTTATAACAGTTCATTTAAAGGGATAACAATATTATAATATAAAACACTGAGTAAGATACGGTATATATCCTGAACACATGGCCAGACGGCCTGGATGTGCAGACTGACCAGTCTGTACATGGCTAGGCTAAAGTAACATCAATACTTTTTCAAAAACAAAGCACTGCTTCGGTTTGAAGTTGTTTTGAAGCACAGTTTTAAATTTACAAGGTATGTTGTTTCTCTTACATGCACAACTTGTAGTTTCTTTATAAAAAAATTAATATTTTACAACTTCCAATCTTTGACTTCTTAAAATGTAAGGTAGAGACCGCTAGACGACTGAAATTACTTCTTTCATTTTTTTTTTCAAATAAAATCTAAGAAATGATTCAACATGAATGAGTTGCAAGCATGACATTCCTTTTCCATGATTTTACTATTTTAAAATCTTTTCAACTTTAAAAAAAAATGATTTCGCGAAGCCTGCTTTCTCTTTTTCCAATACATGTAAATAGAATACGACAAATAAAGAATTATTTAAAGTCTTCTTCTGAATCAGCGATAGAAAAAACTTGACATGTAGATTTACTCTTTTTTTCATAGTCAACGATGCAACTGCACATATTAATTTTGGTAGCACGTTTTAAAGCAATCTGGTTTAAGTGGTTTTATGGAACAGTATAATAATGCAAATGGCCCCTTAATAGAAAAATTCATAAGTACTTTTATTTTGGTTAACAAACTAATGGCTTAAATGTAATGCAATATTAAAAGTTTCCTTCATACCATTACTTGAGTGTATAATCTGAATATTTATTAGGCAGAGTTTGAAGATGTTCTTGGTGAACCCGAGGGAGTTCGTTCTATGGAATGCGTCTGGAAGTTGTCCTATAGATGTTTCAGCCTCTGGAGGGATTGCTGTTACAAGCTGGCTACACTGTTGTGTGGAATTTGTATGGCTGCATGGCTCGGGTGCCAGTTTGCTGGTGTGGCTCTTGATCATATCTGGTGTGTTACTCCAGGATTGAAGATGTGTGAGATCAATTGTATTGTATTCAGGAAGTGCTACAATATGTGTATCGACTGTTGCGCTGGTCCAATCTGTGAGGCTGCAGGTCTCTGTTTGAGCAAGATAAAAATAACTAAAGCTTAATCAAGTGAAATAAACTAAGAAACAATACTCTTTAACCTTACTTGTAGAAATATTTATTCTGAGATCCGTTAGCCAATGTGTGTTTTCTTTAAACTTGTGAAATGACTTCTTTGAATGAACAAGTTAAGAAAACAAATATTGCAAATGATGAATAAAATAAATGATAAGATATTAATGTGCTTTGAGTTTCTTATTTGACCCATGAGCAACTGAATATTAGAACATATTTTAAAGAAGGCATATTGGGAAAAATATGCTGTACGTTTAGTCATATAATTGTTAAATGTACAAATTAGAACCAACTGTATCTTCTTAAAACATGCCGATTTATCTCATGAGCTTAGCCTTTATTAGCATAACATAACATAAACGGGTGTGTTATAATTAAAGTAAAATGAGCCGTGTTACGACAAAACCAACATAAAGAGTTTGAGACAAGAATGGATCCAGACCAGCCTGCGCATCCGCGCAGTCTGATCAGGATCCATGCTGTTCGCTTACAAACCCTATAACGAGTATAGAAACTGATAGCGAACAGCATGGATCCTGATCAGAGGGCGCGGATGCGCAGGCTGGTCTGGATCCATGCTGGTCGCAAACCCATTATGTTGATTTTGTCGTGACGCAGCTCAAATATCTTTCACACACACAAACACAAATGAATATGCCTTGCATCTTACTTTTTGTAGACGCGAATTAGATGCGCCTTGATTTATTAACATCAGCTACTTATTAGAAAGGAACCGTGATAGAAAGCCTTTGTTATTCATATTAACATAGCACCTGTATTTCATTTTACTTAAATAGGAACTCTTGGAAGTGTAACACATGCTACTTGATATCCGTGTATACTTTTAATTACGTTTTTTACAAAACAGTTACCACATACAGCATAAAGAATCATTTAAAATTGTGCCTGCCTTTCATTAACGGTATAGATTTATAAACAGGGTACATTTGATATGATTTTTTTACTTTTATGTCATAATTTGGTTTGTTTTTTATTCTGTGAACCGTTTTATGTTAACATATTTGACTTTCATTTCATAATTTGGTTTGTTTTTTATTCTGTGAACCGTTTTATGTAAACATATATTTGCATAAATGTGTTTGAATTTAATACCGGTAATTTGATTAAAGATTTGATTGGCATGTCAATTATAATGCAACATTTTCCAAAATGACGAGTGGAAGTGGAACTCCAATGAGGTTTATATAACCGCAATGGATTTGGTAATATATTTTTCCAGATTAATACCGTTTATTAATGGTGTATAGTAAACCAATAATTTGTGTGCAAAATTTCAGATCATTCGCTTACTTTGTTTTATTTTCATGAATATCCATATTCATTGTGTAAAATGACCAAAAATAAAAAGAGTTTAAACCGTTTTCACTCAAATAGGGATGAAAAAATAGAAGGCTTAAAGTCGATTTTAGAATTTATTTTTAGTGCATTTCTTTTTTAATATTTTTCAATTTAAAGTGCTCAGTTGGTCTTTTCAACCAGATTTTATGTTTTAGCGACCATTGAGTTACTTCAATTACTTCAATTTATAACAGTTCCTAATTTCCATGTTTCCTTTAGATTGACTTCCATGATTCATTTGGTGAACCAGACGGAATACATAGCATTGACTGTGTGTGGACACACAGTTACAAATGCTACACATGTGGAAAGAACTGCTGTTACAAAACAGTCACTCTCCTCTTCGGCATCTTTATCGCTCTAGCTTGGGGATGTGAGTTTGCCATGACCGCATTTTGGCATATCTGGCTGTGTACCCCGCAGTTGAGATGGTATTCTATATGGTGTGGAATGTTTCAGAAATGTTTTGGTACAACAGTAAACTGTTTCCTTTCGCCAGTCTGCGAAGCGTGCGGCCTGTTTCTCAATAGCATGAGATTGAGACAAGATCGATGATGACTTAAATCACTTTTGTATCCCCAAATCTCACAACCGCAAAATTCTAAAAGCAAACATTTAAAGTAACTGCTGGCTCAGATAATGAATTGACGCATATAAAAGATAGCTGGTAAATTTCTAAAGACTTATTTTAAGTAAGTTTGATATATCGGAGTCGCAAATTGCGTGAACACAAATAGCACTATTAGCTTTTTTTTAATTTTCGTTACTAATGACCACTACGAGAGCTAAATCTCTGTCATTATACGGATATCAAAAATAGATTCAGGTTAATGTATAGATATATATACGTGGCTAATTATCTTGAAAACTGAAAAACGTCTTTAAAAGATTTTATGGAAAAAAAAACAAACTTTGTGAGTGATATTTTGAGTTTTATGATGCATTTTTAACATTTAAACCAGTAAAAAATACCACATAAACAGATGTTTTCCCCTGAAACGAAATTATTTGTTGTTTTCTTCTAAAACAACACAAATCATTGTCGTAATAAAGCCCATTAACCATCGGAGGTTGTCCCGTACAGACGGAGTGATAGACCAACGGACGTACGGAGTGACTAAGCAAAATCCCTAGGCCCTCGAACTTTATTAACTAAATAGGAACTATAAGTTCACATTTTAGAACCTAACCTAACTATACAGTTTTAAAAAAAAAACCCAGAAGTATCTTGACTTAAGAGTATATTAAGAAGAGCTGGAGAGAATACTGTTTAACTTTTCTCATTAAGGATACTGTTTAACGATCCTTATAAACAACATAATAGAAAAGTCAGAAAATGTTATTTTTTTACGCTTGATAAAGCTTGTTCTTAAATATACTTCAAATACGACTAGAAACGCTTAAGAACAATTCAAATATATTTAAAAATAGTCTATGATATTATAAACTGTTTTTTTTTTACAAAAATGTAAATTTTATCAATGTTCATTTAGTCCAAACTCTTAACATCGATGACACAATTACAGTGAATTAGCTATGTGGTGTAAAACATTTTCAGGTTTACTTCTTGGTCAGCAAACATAACATCAAATCTATAAAAATCAAATTTGAAATTATACCAGATAGTTAAATATCTTAATATCTAAATGTGCTGTATTTCAAGTTTCAGTGCTTAGAATCGCGTTTCAAATAATTGGGGAAAAGGCGGGAAAAGTCATCACAATAATATTATTTGCAAATATGTCGTTATCACCTGTTTGAGGAAATTTCTATTTAATCAATGTCAAAATTTCAGAATTGAACAAAAATAGTAAACAGTAATGAAAAAATATTAGTATATATCCCACCATATGCGGTTCTGCGGAATTGAGTCTGGTCCCCACAGGGGCCAGCCGGAATTGGCCAGATATGAGCTGTATAGTACGATTTTCGGCACAACGTCGGCAAAATACCAGGACACACAATGCACAATACATATATTCTTCAATCTGTTGTCGGATTTTCTTTCATCTTATATAGCCTTGATTTCTGTTTTTTTGGCTAGCCGTAATAGCCGGAGATCGTTGTTATAAGTAATTTGACATTACATTATGGAATAATCCAATGGTCTTTTGCACAAGTTTTACCGTATCATCTATGGCCAGCCTGTATAACCAGAACCGGATTCCGGCCAGCCGAAGTAGTCGGAACAGCCGGAGTTGACAAAAATAAATTCCGGCTGTTCCAGCTGTCTGGCTACTATCACGAACATTCTTAATATATGTATTGTTTTATTATCGTAAAATCCTATCTTATTACATAGGTTTTAAACTGCTTTTTTCATATATAAAAGAATGTATTTTACATGATCAAAAATCCGATTTTTATTGTTGTTGAAGACAGTATCACGGTTAAGTCTTGATACATACAATAGGTAGGACAAAACAAAAGGATTGTTTAATTGACAACTGAATTAATTAAAGTATAAATGTAATTACTTTGTAAAAAACGTCCAGTCGCTTGTTGAACACACTCACGAACAGAGCAACCGAAACTTTAATCGAGGCAAGATGGGAGATGTTGACCTTATAAACAGAGATCCAAATGCTATCAATCCGCATTTAAAGGTAACATTTTATTTTTTTATATAAAATATTCATCATTTCATTCATTTTTCAAAAAAAAGAATCATTTATTTACCTTTATTATATATTTTTTTCAAGTTTTTTAATTATTTTTAAAATGTTCATCGTTACCCGGATTCTTTTCATACAAACACTTAACACAATTTTAAAATGCATTTCTTTAATTGAAAGTGTGAAAAAAAAGAAAAGAAATTTTGTTCTTTATATTCTTGAATTGATTAAGTGTTATTGTTTATTCAGTGTGCCTTCGAAGATGTTTTGGCTGAACCAGATGATATCCACAGCATGGATTTTTGCTGGAATCTATCCTATTCCTGCTTCAACTTCTGGAAGAACTGCTGCTATAAGCTCAGCACTTTCTTGTGTGGTTGCTGCATAGCTATCGAATTAGGATGTGAATTTGCCGGCCTTGCCTTCACACACATTTGGTGTATCACACCTTGCCTTAGAATTGTTGCTATCAACTGCACCCCGTACCAGAAATTGTGGGGAGTTTGCTGTAACTGCTGCGTATCTCCAGTTTGTGAAGCTTGTGGAATGTACTGGTCTCAAATCAAAATTAACATGCAAAAGTCTTAACGAATTATCGGTAGTGTTTCATAAAGATAATATTCTGAAAGTTTTGATAATGTAAGAATACTAGTTTGTAATGAACGCTTTTTAAATTTTGTTTAACATCAGAAGTATTCCAATTCCAGTTACTATTACCTCTGTAACTTGGCAAAACATGTTGTTATAAAGCAACAAATCACAGCAAAACAGCAAACATTTCTAGACTAAGACTAATATATTTTATGTAATGTAATGATTATATTGGCGAAAGCTTGTGTTTTTTGGTTTTTTTTTTATTATTTATTAATAAATATATATGTGTAAAATTGTTAACCTGGACATGGATTTATATGAGTTAAAACCTATCTTTTTTAATCTAGATAGTGAAACAAGGTTTTACTTCTAATTTTGATCACATTCTAGTCTATTAACTTGGACTAAAATTACTGGTGTAATATAAGAAAGAGTTGTCATATCTCGAGCATATCTTGAACCCTCGATCTCTTGGTTTCGGCACCTTAACCACTATGCAATCGCTTCCCATGGATTATTATAATTCTCTTAACATCTTATAAAATGGACAGATGTACCTGAGTGCTCTTATTATTATACCGGTCACATAAGAATATTTTGCGCCCCTTATTTCTAACGGAAGGTCGTGGGTTAATCAAGGTCCGACCAGGCCCTCAAACAACTAATTGCTAGGGAAACGTTACCCTTTCTTTGAATGGAAAATTTAAAAGTCGTTCTGGTTTCATTCGTATGGATGTTTCCTTTTTTATCTTTTCAATGGATGTGTTGTCTTTATTGGATAACGGAGAATGGCCATTTACTATAATATATTTAAGAAATAATGTACTGCAGAGAGTGATTTTATCGCTTAGTAAAATCACTGTTTGGAGGTCGGTTGCGAGGAATTATGCGAGCCGAAGGACAAACAGTGATTTTATCAAGAATGCATATTCTAACACGACCTGCATTTTTCCCTATTGAACACAGAAGAACCGAATGTGTGTATAATAATGCAATCATTGTTTGACGTTGTATACTTAGACATGTGACGGAATCATTTTACACGTGACGTTACCATACTGAAAATAAGCGCGGAAACAAACAGGCGCAATTTAGCTTAATATTGGTTTAATAACAGGTACGGCAGCATTTATTTATTAATGTCGTGTAAGAATCGAAATAATATATCAAATTCGGTGATTTTATCGCTTTATAAACAAAAGAAATAATAAGAAAAAAAAGAATTTTAAAAACATCCAGGCACACTGACGAATAGGGAAACCGAAGCTTTAACCAGATGCTCAATCAAACCGAGTCTGCAACATTTTCAATTTTATCGTTTTCGGCGTTCTTTTCCCTATTTTATTAGTTGAAAGAAACGAAGATTGCGTTAATGTGTTATTGTAAGGGGACAGTAACTTTTTTAAAATAAACATACAAATATTTGAGTCAAATGCTATGCGGCTATTCACATTTTTGCCCCATTATTTCTCTTACGATTGCTGTATTTTTTTGCCCTTTGAGGATTTTAATTTCACTATCTTTTGTTTTGAGGAATAAACACTGCTTTAGCGTAAATATAAAGTCGAAAACTAAACCTCCCTATTATTGAACTGTGTTGTTTGCTTTTGACTTTCGATGAATATCTCTTTTCAACAGATTAGTGAAAAACAGCACCCTTAAAGCAGCACGCTTCCAATGTGGTTAATTATCTTGAAAACTGAAATACGTCTTTAAAATATTTTATGTAAAAAACTGTGTGTGTTATGTTTGGCTCATGAGCTTTTTGATATTTATGTTGCATTTTCAACATTTAAACAAGTAAAAAATATCACATTAACAGACGTTTTCACGTAAACCGAAATGTTATATTGTTTCCTTCTTTTACAACACAAATTATGGCCGTAATAAAGCTCATTAACCATTGGATGTTGCCCCGTACAGACGGAGTGATAGACCAACGGACATACTGATGGACTAAGTCCTTGAACTTAATTAACTAAATAGGAACTACGAGTTCACATTTTAGAACCAAACTATACAGTTTTGAAAAAAAAAGACAGAAGTATCTCTACTTAAGAGTATATTAAGAATTAAGAAGAGCTGGAGAGGATAATGTTTGACGATCCTCATTAAGGACACTGTTTAAAGATCCTCATTTACGACATAAAAGAAAAGTCAGAAAAATGTTATTTTTTCCGCTTGATAAAGCTTGCTCTTAAATACACTACAAATACGACTAGTAACACTTAAGAACAATTCAAATAAATCAAAGATAGTCTATGGTATCATACACTGCATTTTTTACAAAAAATGTTAATTTTATCAATGTTGTTTTTTTTTGTCCAAACTCTTAACATCGATGACACAATTACGGTGATTGGCTATGTGGTGTAAAACATTTTCAGGTTTACTTCTTGGTCGGCAAACATAACATCAAATCTATACAACATTTGGTCCGACAAGCATTATATACATTTCTCAATATATGTATTGTTTTATAATCGTAAAATCCTATATTATTGCATAGTTTTTAACTTAAGTTAATTTAATATGTAAAAGAATATTTTGTTACAGTCACGACGATTCGTTTAGATTAAATTCAAAGATGTATTTTGCATTATCAAAAATCCGATTGTTCGTTGAAGACATTATATCGGTTCAGTCAATAGGTAGGACAAAACAAAAGGATTGCTTAATTGACAACTGAAATAATTAACGTATAAATGTAATTACTTTGTTAAAAAAACGTCCAGTCGCTTGTTGAACACACTCACGAACAGAGCAACCGAAACTTTAATCTAGGCAAGATGGGAGACGTTGACCTTATAAACAGAGATCCAAATGGTATCAATCCACATTTAAAGGTAACATTTTAATTTTTTATATGAAATAAACATCATTAAAATTTCAAAAAAGAATCATAAAAAATCATAAAATTTACCTTTATTATTTTTTTTTTCAACTTTTATAATTATTTTTAAAATGTTCACCGTTACCCAGATTCTTTTCATGCAAACATTTAACACACACTTGAAATGAATATCTTTAATTGGAAGTGCAAAAAAAAATTGTTAATATTTATATATTGTTTATTCAGTGTGCCTTCGAAGATGTTTTGGCTGAACCAGATGATATCCACAGCATGGATATGTGCTGGAAACTCTCCTATTCCTGCTTCAACTTCTGGAAGAACTGCTGCTATCGACTAAGCACTTTCTTGTGTGGTTGCTGCATAGCTATGGAATTAGGATGTGAATTTGCCGGCCTTGCCTTCCAACACATTTGGTGCATAACGCCTTGCCTTAGAATTGTTGCCATCAACTGCACCCCGTACCAGAAATTGTGGGGAGTTTGCTGTAACTGCTGCATATCTCCAGTTTGTGAAGCTTGTGGAATGTACTGGTCTCAAATCAAAATTAACATGCAAAAGTCTTAACGAATTATCGGTAGTGTTTCAAAGAGATGATATTCTGAAAGTTTTGATAATGTAAGAATACTAGTATATAATGAATGCCTTTTAAATTTTGCTTAACATCAGAAGTATTCCAGTTCCGATTACTATTACCTTTGTAACTTTGCAAGACATGTTGTTATAAAGCAACAACTCACAGCAAAACAGCAAACATCTCTAGACTAAGACTAATATATTCAATGTAATTTAATGATTATATTGGCGAAAACTTGTGTTTTTTCGGTTTTGTTTTTTTTATTATTTATTAATAAATATATATGTGTAACATTGTAAACCTGGACATGGATTTATATGAGTTAAAACCTATATTTTCTAATCTAGATTGTGAAACAAGTTTTTGCTACTAATATTCTATTAACTTGGACTAAAATTACAAGTGTAATATAAGAAAGCGTTGTCATACCTCGAGCTTATCTTGAACCCTCGATCTCTTGGTTTCGGCACCTTAACCACTATGCAATCGTATCCCGTAGATTTTTATAATTCTCTGAACATCTTATAAAATGGACAGATATACCTCATTAAGACCGGTGACATAAGAATATTTTGCGCCCCTTATTTCTAACGGAACAACTAATTGCTAGAGAAACGTTTCTAGAACGCCGTCACTGTCTTATGTAATCAATGTTTTTTGTTATGTTGTGAAAAGATGATATTATTTTGTCGTTTGAGCGTGTTAACATGAGCAATTTTCATTGGAACATGCTGACTCACAAACAGCTTGTCAAATTATTATGATCACAGGTGCAGACAGCATGCTAACTTGTCACAGTCTCGTGATGACTTGTGAAAACAACATGTTAACTTGTCAAAGTATAAATATGACTTGTGCAAATGCCATGGTAACTTGTCAAAATGTAATGATGACTTGTGCAAGCGACATGTTTACTTGTCGAATTATTGTAATGACATTTGCAAACAGCATGTAACTTGTCAAAGTGACATGATGACTTGTGATGACTTGTGCAAACACCATGTTAACTTGTCAAAGTATAATGATGACTTGTGCAAACGACATGTTAAATTGTCGAATTATCGTGATGACATGTGCATACAGCATGTTAACTTGTCAAAGTTTCATGATGACTTGTGCAAACAGCATGTTAACATGTCAAATTACCATGATGACTTGTGAAGACAACATGTGAACTTGTCAAAGAATCGTGATAACTTGTGCAAATGACATGTTATCTTGTATCATGCTGACATGCACATGTTTGCACATGTCATTATGATACTTTGACAAGTTAACATGTTGTCTGCACATGTCATAATGATTATTTGACAAGTTAACATGCGGTTTGAACAAGTCAGCATTGTCTGTAGACAAGATATGATGTACATTGCACATGTTAATATGCTTAAATGACAAAAAAATATCATCATTTCAGAAGATAGCAAAACTATTGATAGCATAAGACAGTCACGGCGTTCCATAAACGTTGTTCTTTCTTTTCATGAAAATTTGAAAGTCGTTCTGGTTTCATTAGTGTGGATGTTTCTTTTTATCTTTTCAATGGATGTGTTGTCTTCGAATTATGGATATCGGAGAAAAACGATTTACTGTAATATATTTAGAAATAAAATACTCCAAACTGTGATTGCATCGCTTAATTAAATGACTGATTGGAGTTCGGTTGCGAGGAATTCTAATACGACCCGCATTTTCCCTATTGACCATAGAAGGAACGCAAGTGTGTGTTATTATGCAACGGAGTCACAGTTTGACGTTCTATATTAAGACATGTGACGTATTCATTGTACACGTGACGTAACCACAAAAAATCCAACGCGCTGAAAATAAGTACAGAAACAAATCAGGCGCAATTTTGCTTAAAATCAGGTGTGGCAGCATTTATTTGTTGATGTCGTGTAAGAATCGAAATAATATATCCAAATCGGTGATTTTATCGCTTGATAACATCACTGTTTGTCGTTCGGATGCGCATCATTGTATCACGAGGGCGTAGCCCTCGTGATATAATTCCTCGCATCTGAACTCCAAACAGTGATGTTATTGAGCGATAAAATCACTGTTTGGGATATACTATTTCTTAATTATATCACGAGGGTGTAGCCCGAGTGATATAATTTTGCGCTCCGAACGACAATCAGTGGTTTTATAAAGAGTGAATATTCTAACATGACCTGCTTTTTTCCGTATTGAGCACAGAAATATGTGTGTAATAATGCAATCACTGTTTGTCGTTCTAAATTTAGACATGTTACGTAATCATTATACACGTGACGTTACCACTAAAATGTGACACACTGAAAATAAGTGCGGAACAAGCAGGCGCAATTTAGCTTAATATTTGCTTAATATAAGATACAGTGGCATTTATTTATTGATGTCGTGTTAGAATTGAAAAAAAATCCAAATCGGTGATTTTATCGCTTTATAAAATCACTGTTTGCCGTTTGGATGCGAATCATTATATCACGAGGGCTTAGTTTCGCATCCGAACTCCAAACAGTGATCCACTATTTGGGATAGATAATTTATGAAATAACACACACTTTCGGGTTTTTTTTTATGTACAACAGGGAAAAATGCAGGTCATGTTATAATTTTTTAACACAATACTGTTGAAAATATAATCATAAAAATATCACGATTGCAATGTGCATATATTTGACAGAAATGCGTTTATTTTCTTACTTTTAAAAAGCATTCTGAACAAATTTTTAAATCTTTTGAAACGAATATAAATGATTCACTTAAGAAAAAATATCGTTCTCAGTGGTGTTTATCGGCTATTTAACAGTTTTGATGCGTAGGAATCGACCAATAAGGCCGAGGGCCTGAATGGTTGATTTGCTTGCATCAAAACGATAAATACCGATGTTACATAGCCGATAAATACCCCTCATACCGATATTATTTCGATTCTTACAGAACAAAATAAGGGAAATCACTAACGTTGTTTTTTTTTTCAAGCAGAGATAACTTCTGCTGCCGATTTTCGTAAAACGCTACTCTAGTCTCACCCAACAGTCTCTAATGTATAAACATATTGAACAAAATAAATAATAAGAAAAGACAAAGTTAATTAAACGTGCGTCTCTTAAAGACAAACATTGGAATTTACATTTATAAATGTGTTATCTTTTCTTCCGATTGTAATTATTTCCACTCACACACCCCAAACCGACCACCGCCCTTTTTTATCCCCTTTATCTTAAAAGTATGCGTACGCAAAGATACATAGATCACCGTTCCATGGTTCATAAAGAAATTTATATATTTCCAGTAAAGGATCCATAGTGGGCTGGCCCAGCTCTGAATCTTGAACAATTCATCCAATGTTTAAAAGATGTCGATGTACAAAATATGAATATTAAGCAACCAACAGTTTACCGCCTGGTCTGTCTACATGGAATTGCAGGGATCATTCAATTTCCAGATTTTTGTCTGCTCTATACTGTTGACCTTTGGTTTTATTTTCCGAAGAATTAAATATATCTCCAACGTGCAGTATGATAAGAATAAAGCACGATGATTCAATCACTTCTCATATCACACTAAAATGCATTATATTAATTTTGTTGTGTTAATGAATTACCACTTAAGCGTACAGAAACTTTAAAAAATGATTATAGTTTGTCAATGATAGGGTGTAAAGAATTATAGAGTGTATTTTATTATACAGTTTTTGTCTTTCAGGACCATTCAAGCCTTTTGTTGTTTTTTTAAAGAAACAACTTTTTCTTTAACATGATATATAATTTTTGCATAATAAAAAATGTGACTAAGGATTACCTCTGTATAACACTTTGGTAATAAGATGATTTCAATGATCAGTTCAGTGTTTAGTCGACTGTCGCCGCATAGTTTTCAATATGACAGATGTTGATTTTGTCAACAAGGATAGTAACAATATCAATACACTTAAAGTTAAGCTGAGTGGAAAAAAGCTGAGTGGAAATGTTGTATATATCGTTAAAGATCAACAACACGCCTTAGCTTTTTATCTAACTTGCGATATATGGCCAAAACATCCGGCCAGAATTCAACAATAAATTTTAATTTGATGTTATCATTAGGACCGACGACAAAAGAATATTTTGCGCCCCTTATTTCTAACGGAAGGTCATGGGTTTATCAAGGTCCGACCAGTCCCTAGAACAGCTAATAGCTAGAGAAACGTTGTCCTTTCTTTGAATGGAAAATTTGAAAGTCGTTTTGGTTTCATAAATGTGGATGTTTCTTTTTTAATCTTTTCAATGTTGTCAATATAGTTTAGTGTTTGTTAGTCAGCATTAATGAAATGAAGTATGTCTCGATGGTACGAAATTCCCAATTTTAATTTCCTGAATTCACGTTTTCAACATATAGAGGATATTTGTTTGTTTTGCATGTAAGATTTAAATATATTTCACTGAGTGAACATCAAATTCAATAATTTCACGAATTCACTGTTTCATCTTCACGAATTCCACATATTCAAGATGTTGGAACCATAAATTCATTAATTATGTATGTTGAAATCGTGAATTCATGAAGTTGAGGTGATGAACCCGATAATTCAAAAAGTTGAAATGTCACCACCGGTCTTTTGAAGGAACTGCATAATCCACTTAGTTTTTGAAGTTATGCTTTGAATCTTTACACTTTACGCGTATGTTAAGCTGATTTAATGGTATGGTATTTAACAAGTTTATGCCGATTATTGAATAGATCAAATATATAAAAGATTTTTTTTATTTAAAAAAATATTTCGATATCATTTGACAAAATAGAATTACAACAAGTAAAAAGGTTAAGCTGAATTTATTTACTTTTCTTTCGGTCATGATAAAACAATATTATAAGTTTAGTAGTTATGTGTATTATGTAACAGCCATACCATGTTGTTGTTTTTTGTTGGGTGGGTGTATGCGGTATTTTGTTGTTGATTAAATTTATGGCTTTTTGTTGAATAGAAGGTATCCCGATGAAAGTTAATCTATAAATAATTAGAAGATAGTTATATTTATCATATTAGTTCTCTAGCGTTATATAACCATTACGTATAACGCGTGTAATATAACGACCGCACCACGCCTGTTTATCAATTAAAATGTTATAAATGAATTGTTTAGTCTGACATTGGTTGTCATTTAAAATAAACTTTAATAAAAGGCATCTTGCCAGAGAACACTTAAAATAAGATTTTCCTGAACATGTTTCGTAAACACTGTAACTAAACGGAAATTAATCAAAAAATAACTTTCCATATCGTATTCCATTAGGGCCAGTTTGTTTTCTTTGAGAACGAAAAGCGCATCTTTGAGAACGAAAAGCGCAAAATAGTACGCTTGTGACAGTACGACAGCACGATAGTGATAGTCTATTGTACTTCCGTACTGTCACCATCATATTGTCGTTCTGTCACCTTCGTACTGTCGTGCTTTGCGATTTTCTTTCTCAGAGAATACGAGCTGTCTCAAACGGAAAAACATCGAAAATCCCTGCCTGTCAACATGATAAAAGTTTATAGCAAATGACAATGAATGTTATGTCCTATATGTCTTATATTCAGATTCTATATTGTCCAAGTTGTTTCAGTTTACTCGTCACTTTCTTTTTTCTTTACTTATTTTTTCTTGTTTGGCTGATAAAATATTGTACAATAAGTAAGACTGAGATTTTCCTTTCGTTAACTATAAACTATAGAAAGTAAGATTTTTTTGTGCATGTAACCCACTAAAATACGCGATCTAAATCCAATCCCCGCATATATTTCTCATTTGTGAGTCTTAAATCAAAATCCTTTATCTAAATCAGGTTTGAGTAGTTTGAATTGGAATTGGAAGTATTGCTTTAAATTTTTTCATAAAAATCTGCAATTTTTACCCCGAAATTGATTCTTTTTCGAGCGATTAAAGAACAGATGCTATCTTTTGTACCGAAAAACAAGCATTTAGACATAGAAATCAATTAAGAGTACATTGCTTATCTTCAGTAAGTATGATAAACTGATACTTCATATGCCCAAAAAACACCCAAGCATCGAAACTGCTGGTGTAAAAGACATCTCTTAATTACATTGTACAATTGTATGTACTTATAAATGAAATATTGAGAAATATTAATGAAATAAAATGCGTATTTTCATTTTCCATACTTTCATTTGAAAACAAAATATTTTTCACTGCAGTGAAATATAATTCCCATATTTTAACTTGTGTCTTGACGGAATTCTTTCCTCTTGATTCAGCCAAGACACATCAAAAAAACTTTTTCTTTATTTTCATCTTGTGACATGAAAATTATCATATTCCATACCATTCGACCTTGTATTTCAAGAAAAAAAAACTTGAATATCCTCAATCACAATTTAATATTTCACTGTGGAGACTTATCATAACATAAACATATAAAAACATTCGGAGTATGTTAAAAGGCTTAACTTAATAGGGAGAACTCTAGAATATTGAGAACAAAACAAGAAAACTTGACAAAAATAAATAACACAGAGTCTGGATAGAATTTAACAAACTATCATGGTTAGAAAAAAAATTAGACAACAACCTTATTTTATCAAGTTAATTTTTCACCAAGATGAATCTTTCTTTTTTTTAGTTGTTAAAAATGCTGTTTCAAGTGCTTTGTCGCTGTAAGAATAAGTTGTTTTCATTGAATTACTCCTGCTGTCAAAGTCAAAAATTATCCAGTCCAATAGCATTTTTAAAAAGACAGTTTCTAATAGTTTTCCACTGTTGCAACCTCTCCAAATTTAACCCTTGGTTATCTTTATTTTGCTGAAGAGTGCTCCACAAGATTCACACACAGGTACCACGCAACAACTGAGACAGGATCCGAAGAATTTCTGCGCACATCCCATGCATATAGAGAAGGCTCTCAAGAAAGGGGTACAACACCACACGTTTTGAAATGTGATACCGGCAAAACAGCAACCCCATTCCAGAGCAATGCACAATCCACAAAGGAAGGTCAAGATCTTGTAACAAAGGTTCTTGCCACATTCGAAACAGGAATAGCTGTTCTTCCAAACGCAGTCCATAGACCGTATACCCTCAGGCTCGCCAAGGACATCTTCAAACTGAACCTGTAAATATCCGGAAAGATTTAAAAATTAAAGTTTTGAACAATAACGTAGAAATACTCATTGTTATAACAGTCATTGTAATAAAGTTAAAACATTATCATATAATTATATTTTAGAAATGTATTTTTGCTTTAATAAATCCAAGGAAGTGTCATGAAAAAGTTTGAAATGAAGAAAATTATTTTCTTTTAACAGAATGTCATGGTTTTATTATAATTTTGTTTTTAATTTTTATTATTAAACACCATCATTTAATTTTGAAATATGTATATTTTTTCATTTTACCTTAATATGGCCATTAAGTTCATTTGGATCACGATTATCTAAATCAACACCCATGATGTCTTCAGCTATCAGCACTCACTAAGGTCCAACAAGAAAATAAACACCAACTGGCTTTGAATTCTTATTTTTATACATTTTAATAGTCATGTCACACTTTGGGAACAAAAGAAATAGCGTTTCTATTTTTTTTCTTTTTATTATATCGTCCTGTATTTTTATGGAAACAAAACAAAACGAGTAGTAATTCAACGGTGAAATTATTATAATTATAATAATTGTCTTCATTGTTACTTGCCCTTTTAGAAACGTACCTACATACCACATGATAGTTAAAAAAGCAGTTAGAAATTATTTCAGTAAATTTCTGCCCTGACTGAGGTATTAACAAAAAGTAACTAAAGAATTTGGTAAAAAGGCTAAGAACCTTATTATTTCTGAATAAATGATGTATTGCAATGAGAAGCTTTGCGTACGGGCTAGAAGTACTGCGCACCAGATACAACCATCGTCAGTAAAATATGAATAAAAAAAATCATCAAGGAAGGGCAACAATGAACGCATCCCACAACACAACACGGGACCACCGGCAAGGAGTCCGGCAGGACATCAAACAGGACAGGTAAATGGGTCAGTCATGGACAGGACATCATTATAGATTATTCAAAATAGGAATTCATAGAAACCGACAATGTAATTAATGAGGAAAATTAAATAATAAGCCTACAAAAGGATAAGCATGAAGGGGCGGTGAAGTGCGGGAGAGGGGGCGGCAAAATTCAAAAAAAATAGGGGGAAAGAGATTATTCTTACCGTAGACGACAAAAACAAGAAGGGACACAGAGGTGTCCCTACAATTGAATAATTGCATATACAATATACAAGATAAACATCTAAATCATTACTCAATTATGCTACCTTTTATTTTAGTTTTATTACATAATAAAGAGTGATTATTATAATACTGATACTGATGGTGATGATAAACCCGATGTTGATGATTTATTTTCTAGTGTATTGTTAATGCTTAAAGGTGATATATTTCACTTTGATGCTATTTAATTTTTTACAGTATGTTTAGACTTACATTTTACTATTTCACTTACAACTGTTAATTCTTAGAGTTAATATAAATGATCTTTACTTAACGGCTGTGTATTTACTTACCATAGCTTCTGAACTTTTAACATGTCTATAAAATGGCGCGCCAAAAAGAATCAATTCAAAACATCTACGGTTGGATATAATACATATTCAAAAATTCAAACAACTTTTTAGAGGGCTGTGTCTATGCATATACGTTTTAGACTAAATCTAGAGTTGAATTCGATGAATTCCTGAAACGATATGCAGGAAATTTATTCTAATGCCCTTCATTTTGACTATACTTGGATGAGTTATGTGAGAACAATTTTATCTGTCATAATGCAACAATTGTCAAAAATTATTCAAAGGATGGCATATGTCTCATCATATTAGGAGCAATCATTACACAAGCTATGAAATTATTTCAATTAATCAACAATGAATATTTATTTTAGAGAAACTTATTCATCAAAACTGTGTATAAACCATACAATGATTATTTGAGGATTACTTACATGTATTTTAAGTGTGTTTTATGATAGTGCACATAATGCATTTTCGCTTTTTGCTTTATTTATATTATTTGATTGTAAACAGAGGTTGTCCGAAACATTTTCCTATGTTATCCTGGGGTACACAAGTTGGTAAATATATCGATAAAAAGCGCAACGCTTTGATCACGCTATTGTAAACGGTAGTGCACCATTAAACTATAATCATCGAAGTTTATTTGTACCACGGGAATATTTGGGACTCGTTACGATTGCCAGAGGCTTCAAAAACCACTTTATGCGAAACATTGATGAGGCGACAGAGAATTTATTAATAATTATAATATTCATAATGCTTTATGTTGTAGTTGTACATGCATCATGTCTTCTTGTACACCCTAAGTACAAAATTTCTCGCATAGTGCATTTAAGTGTTTAGTTGTTATTTGTGGATTATCTGGTAAAAAATAAAATGTTACAAACCCCTCATTTGCCGAGTTCTTAATAAAATCTATTGTTTCAAATTGTATTATTTTGATAATAATTTGATGATCATGTAGGACGTTCAAGATGATCACAACTTTTACAAAAAAACTAGGAAGAAATTATCTTTAATTTTCTAAGATTAATACCCCTTTTTCTGATTTTGTACTTTGTATTTTTAACTACTTTCAAATTACAAGAATTTTCGTTAGAACATCATTAATTGCCGTTTTTATTGTTTTAATTATTTCTACAACATTAAAATTTTAGGCCGCCAGGCCGCTGGTCCGCCAACTTCACGCCGCCAGGGCGCTAGGCCGCCAACTTCACGCCGCTGTTTTAACTCTGTTTCCTTTTAAAGGTATACATATAATAAATAATAATCTATAATAAAAACGCATGACGTATTGCCAAACTTATTTATAGTTTGGCTAAACTTTGACCAGACCTTTTTCTTTTTGTACTTTTAATTTTAATTTTTTCTTCTATACTGCCGTTTTATTTGAGCATTTTTACATTGCAATCTTAAGCACTAGGTATACTGAGTTATTTTAAGTCAAGAAGATATAAACGTCGAGAGGATGATTGTGGATTTTCCAAAGAAAACTGGAGAAAAAGTAGTTTGAAAATTTTATATAACATCGTTTACTTATAAATTATTATATAGATACTTTAATAAATAGAATTATTGAATAAAACAAAGGTCACATAATTTTTACCTGAACAAACAAATTATTCATTTAATTTAATTTTTATTTTTCATCCGAAAAGAAATATTCAAATTTAATTGTGTCAAATACTTTGATCCAAATTTGTTAATAATAACACAATTAATCAAAAAAGGAAAGAAGGAACATTCACTGTAATAGAATTAAAGCAATCGTAAGTTTAAATATATCCCCTTATCTATCAGTTGTGATATTGATGAGAAAGTATGCTCAAACTTTGTTTTATCACATCACACTTTCCTTTAATCCACTTGCTGTTCTTCTATTATATTGTTGATACCAGTTAACTTTTTGCAATCCTTATTTTGCTGAAGAGTGCTCCACAAGATTCACAGACAGGTACTACACAACAACTGAGACAGGATCCGAAGAATCTTTGAAAACATCCCATACATATAGAGAAACATCTGAGGCATGGGGTATAAAACCATACGTTTTGAAATGTGATACCGGCAAAACAGCAACCCCATTCCAGAGCCATACACAACCCACAAAGGAAGGTCAAGATCTTGTAACAAAGGTTCTTGCCACATTCGAAACAGGAATAGCTGTTCTCCCAAACGCATTCCATGGAACGTACACCGTCGGGCTCCCCAAGGACATCTTCAAACTGAACCTATAAATAGCCGGAAAGATTCAAACAATAAAGTTTTGAACGGTAACGTAGAAATACTCATTGTTTTAACAATAATTTTGTTATAAAAATGTAAGGAAGTGTCAAAATAATCAATCATATTTTCCAATTTTTTTCTTTAATTATAATACTCACTCAGGTTCGAAGCGTTTTATGTTATAACAAAAAAGTAAAAATATCATAAAAATAATTCTCCATCATTTTTATCTATTTATATATATTTTTTTAATGAATCGTTTTATAAAAACATCAGTATCAACAATCTGATTTTGTTTTCAAAAGATATAGAAAGAATGTTTTCATTACTTATCTAAAGTTGTTTAGCTTACCCTGATATGGTTATTAAGATCATTCGGGTCACGGTTTTCTAAATCAACACCCATCTTGTGTTCAGATAATACCATTCACCAATGTCCAACATGAAAATGAACAGCAACTGATTTTGAATTTTTTTTGTTCTCGCCTTTATATCTTTATCTTCTTCAGAAACAAAAGCAAGGTGCGTGTCCAACTATTTACGTTATTTAACAAGATTATGCTTTCAAAACAGAAATCATAATACAATAGTGAAGTTATTATAATTATACATAATTGTCTTAAAGTTTTTACTCGATTTAGTTTCACATATTTACTATCTATATTCTATTTGAGTCGTTCTAAACAGAACTAATTATTTCGTAACGTATCCTATTAGACGACCACATTGGCAACAATTTATTGTTAACAGGTAATTTTACTTTAGATACGTAATATAAATTGTTCTACTTTAATGTTTGAAAACAACATAAACATGTACATTACTATTATTTATAGTGCTCAATATCTTGAATCTTCATCTTTTTAAGTCAAACATAAACTATAACCAGATCAACCATATATTTATTGTTGATATTAAATTGATAAAATCCTTTCGAGATTCATGATTATCTGCTTCAGGCCGTTGATTCAGAAGTCATGTGGGATTAGTAGTCGGTCTCTTGCGGAGAAATTGGTAATTCGAGGAGACAGTTCGTTGGGTCGACAGCCGAGATGTGACAAAATGAAGTGTTACAATCAGCTTAAAACAGAAAACCAAACAGACAAATCAGTTTTATATCAAAGAATAATAATAAAATAAAACAAAAACTACCGTTTTGGGTGTACTATTTAATCTATTTCTGAATAGGTCATGAAAATTTCGGGAAAAATTACTTTATCATTCGATGGTAAAATGATAGTAATTATACATGTATGTAACTGGTGCAATTATTATATCACTGTAGTCTTAATACAACTGTTTCTCCACTGTTTTTTCTGCTTAATTAGTCATATGTGTATATATATTTATAATTTTACAATTTAATTGTTAGATCTATATTATGTGATTTACCTGTTCTCCTATATTATAAATATTAATGTAAAAAATGTTAAAAGATAAAGGCAATTTCGCTTATGCCTTTCAATTCAGACATAACTGTATGCCATTGAGATCACGGCGTTCCTAAGCAATTAAGGTATCACATTAAACTTTTTTAATATTTCTATTTTTGAAGGAACCTTGATTTTTATTTACAGTCAATGGCAATAAGGTTATTAAATGCTCGTTCACAATACCAGTATATAAGGAAATAATCATGAAAAAATCAAATCCACTTTTGGAAGTGACTGGGCTGGACGTGGTAAACACTAGTATATCACATAAATATATCATAAAAAATGGCTGGCCAAGAACCTGATTTGGATAATCGTGATCCTAATGACCTCAACAGTCATGTACAGGTATGAATAATTCTTTTTGTTCAATATTTTATCTATTTAACGTGTTTTTGATGAAATTACAAATCATAATAAAGGCTTGACAAATACTCGAAAAAGCTACTAGTATTTATATTTATTTCTTGAATCGCAAATCATTCTAAACTCTACCTGTGTGTTGAGTATGTCTTCCAATAATCCGGTGGTGATCTTAACTGAAAACACCATTTCAAACGTTAAGCTAGTAATTTGATATCTATCCTTTCAATTTCAAGGTTATGTTTGACGACGTCTTTGGAGAGCCGGAGGGTGTGAAATCCATCGACTGTATTTGGAAAAACAGCTATTCCTGTTTCGAATGTGGCAAGAACCTTTGTTACAAGATTATGACCACTCTTTGCGGGTTGTGCATTGCTCTGGAGTGGGGTTGCGAATTTGCCATGCTCACATTTCATCATGTGTGGTGCTGGACACCATGCTTGAGGGATTTCTCCATCACAATGGGATGTGCCCAGAAGTTCTACGGAACCTGCCTGAACTGTTGCATAACACCATGCTGTGAAGCATTTGGATCAGTCTTCAGCAAAATAAAGATTCAAAAATCATAACGACTTGATTATGTTAAAACTACAACTTGTTTGAAATTGTATAGGTATTAAAATTTAATGGAAGAAAGGACAAGTTATCAACTCTCTTACATAATACATTAGAAAACAGCTAGATTGTATGGAAAGTGTGTCGATTCAAAGAAGAAAACTATTAAGGAATATAAAATCTGAAAGTTAAAATGAAAACCTTTATCGCGAATTGTTTGATGTAACTGAACTTTTGTTTTGAAAGATAAAGGTAAAGTTTTTTGTCAAACTTAATTATGATGTTACATCATGATCAATAAAATATTTATTTGTTACTTTATATATTATTGTTTTCCTTTTTGAACACCTTCCTTCAGTAGTGCTCTTGGTTAGATAAAGAAGATTTGATATAGTGACAAAAGGCTCATTTGAGTTTGAACTGTGTGTGTGTTTGACAGCTGCATTTGAATATAAGCAGTATCATAATAATTATTCAGCAACTTTTGCCAAGCCCGTAGTTTTGTAATTAGACAATGTATATTTTTATTGAAAAAAAAATACTTCCAAGTAACTGTATTATTAGTCTATTCTTCGATCAAAGAAACAACACATTCCTGCAATTTTTCACAATTACAATTATAACTACATAAATCATGTATCTGTATATCTGTGTTCAACGAATTTAAATTGATAGATTTCCTATGAGTATTCTTCTTAATATTAAAACTTCATACGTGCTATCTTTTATATAATCATAATTTGTTTCGAAAATGCGCACAAATTCTTTATATATTACACAACAGTTACTGTTTCTTTGCTGTGCTGTTTTACATGATAACTCACTAGACTACATGATGTTGCTTGAATTTTTCACTCAAGGATGTTGGTATATCCCTTCAAGTTCATCTACCGACATTCCGACGAAATAAATCAATACAAAGGCAACTTTGCTTGCTTTTATGATAGTTAATAAAAAAAATAAGCTAAAATTAGATTTCTGCCAAAATCGTGAAATTTGCCATACGCGAAAATAGCCTGATATACGGTAGTATATTTCGAAACCATACGTCATCCAATCCGTAAAATTGTTAAATGTTGCAGTTTGTTTGAGCCTGATCGTTAAAATAATCGTAATTACAAAGGTATACCTCCGTTTCCACCTTCCCTAGCACTAGCTGTATCACTACGTGATATTTAGATGTAGAATTGAACGCATTTAATTTAATAGATTTATACTGTTTGGTCAATAGTATAACATTGTGTTAGTCCTAAATAAGAACAAATTAAATTGAAAGAATAAATGAAGTTGAGAAAGACAGATATATTTGAAAAATAGACAATATATCCTAATGGTGATTGAATTCCGGAAAAATGTCAAATATATATAGATTTTTTAAATCACTGGCGCGCTATTAGCAATAGCTAAAATGTACTGGTTTTATCAAGTAAAATGATATAAAGTTCAACATATATTTTGTTCATTTAAAACAATGTTTATACTTAAAAGGTAGGATAAGGTTTATCGTTATAAATTGATGTATTAAAACCCGAGCAAAATAAAAAAAATAAGAATATTAACTTCTTTATCTTATCTGTTTTAAGGTGTTTCCTAATTTTTTTATTCTGAAAGTGATTATAAAAACAAACATAAAATCACTAATAATGATAATTTGTTATGTTAAATGATTTGATTTGACAATTACATGTTACGTAAAAATATATAAACGAGATAAATATCTCAATAACGTTTTCAAAAATGAACTTTAACTTCATATACGATAATGAATAAATTCATGTGTTTACAAACCAGTGTTTAACCACTTAAACTGTTTTGTTGTACGAGAAAATGTTGATGAAGAGATATGGTATTACATTTCAGAGTGTGTCGTTATCAGAGATAAGATCTGAAAGTTAACAATGATGAATGCCGGACTAATTTTGTTGCCTTATATCGTTTAAATTAATTTACCAAAGGTGTTTAGGTAAATTGATTAAAGATAATTTACCACAAAATCTATAGGTTGTCTTCAACGTTGGATGGCTTTTTACAGTAAAAAGATTATTCTTTTGCCGAAGATAATTGTCCTAGTTGCCCCTTCATTTTATTAAACGACAAAAATGTCATGTTTAAGGATAATCAAAATTGCAATGTAAGAGATTAAATTTTATATATTTTTGTTTGGTTTTCTTTAGTTTTACGGCGCACCAACAAAATAAGATTATTCTTTTGCCGAAGATAATTGTCCTAGATGCCCCTTCATTTTATTAAACGACAAAAATGTCATGTTTAAGGATAATCAAAATTGCTATGTAAGAGATTGAATTTTATATATATTGTTTTGGTTTTCTTTAGTTTTAGATCACAACCAATCGTCATATGGTTGCAAAATTTGACAAACTTTGAGAAAGAGGTTAAAATCACCCACCTGCTGGAGCTAAGAAATGGATAGACTCCAGTAATTCAAAATCCGTTTAATCACCTCTTTTAATCGCGCAGGTATAAACGGTAGGCCTCAACACTTAAAGGCAACCCCTTAGCCACTAGAGGGTTAAATATTACTAAAATACTTTATTCAAATACTTTGATTCTCGTTAATTGGAACTTTGATTATTAAATAATATAATTTATAATACACACCCTTTGTACCGACAAACGAAGCAAAAACAAAGTTTAATTGAATAAAAATATAAATAACTTGGATGATATATATAAAAGATCAATCTGTGTTGAACAAAGCCCATGTTGAGCTCGCTGGAACTATTTTATATAATAATTCAAAAACAATCAATGCATGAGTATTGATGGAAGATGAGATTCAGCGTCCTAAACTATCGTTTTGAGCCTGAAATATGCTTTTTATTACATTTATAAATGTTAAATATGTTCGTAAATGGGTCTTATTATTATGTACAGATGAAAGCCTTAAAACTAAGATTCTTATTTTCTTTCCCAAATTAGCCAGCAACTAATACAATGTTATAAAAATATCACCATTAACATTCAATTAACATACGGAAAAGAACTATTAAAACGATACATATACTGAAAAAGGTGGATAACAAGTATGCAAAACGTTCAATCTGACTAAAGTTTGTTCACATCTACGAAGTTCAGATCGTACTTTATTTCTTGCATTAAGATCTGATTCTTACCGTATATGTTTATTTACCGAGTAAGCTAATTTTGCCATGCAGTCAAACCGTCCTTTACAGGTAGGCATTAGACGAAGTATCAAAATATTGCTGTCAGTGGAAGTAAAATAAATGTCGATTTTTGTTAGAAAAAAAATGTTGAAGTAATTTGAAACAATTAAACTTGAAATAATTTGACTCAATTTTTGGTTTAAACATATTTATTTTTTATCAAGTTAAATTACTAGTAATCAAACACAAACTTTATACAAAGTCATGATAATTTTGATTTAACGTGAAGCTCAAAGCTTATAGTAATTCTCTCAATTTTTAATGAGCAAGATTGTTTTGCCAGTTTACATGCCGACCATATGGACAGCGCCATGTTTGTTCTCAAAATCCGATAAAAGGTCATGAGAAGGTGACCTCTTATTGGTGTCTGTCAGATCCTATTGCGTAGTGTGAATAAGGCGCTGATTTAAACACCTAAGTCAATATGAGAAAAAACGCACGACAAATTGCAAGACAATGAAAGCTTTCAAAAGAATAATATTAAGACTTTGAAAAGTTTTATCCATACAACAGAGCAGACATGAATATAGATATACTCAACGTCCGGAATATCAAATGAAATTAGACGCAACACTCGTGCAATATTATACATGTATTTGCTTTTCTTAAAGATCGACCAAAAAAGAGATGTAGGCAGCAATGAACAAAAAATATGTACATGCTCCTTCGTTGCAGATTCTTATCTTAGAATGAAAAAATAAGCTATGGCTCCTTTACCACACTCACCATTTTTTTACTGTTATAGTTAAAGGTGGTTTTCAAACTAAAGGAATGAAAGGGGAAAAAGAAAAAAAAGGCAGACAAAGTGAATTGCTGTTGCTTTTTTTATGTAAAAACGAAAGAATTTATAGAAAAAATGAACAATTGGCATTACTATACATGCTAAAGACGACATAATACTTCATCCTCTGATAAAATGGCAATGCACATCCGTTAAATACGTATTTATGAGTTTGTTTTTCTTATTTTTAAAGCACTTGATTAGAAATCATTATTTTCTTGCCAATCAATGTGTAGAAAAGAGCTAATTAAGGCCATTCGGGTTGAGTGTCTTATAAAGAGAGCAATATTATGTCTCAACGGCTAAGATTATTTAAAATCTGTGAAAGGGTGATCCCTAAAAAGCAATGAAAACATCAATATTTTATGAAAAATTATAGACTCTCAATTAGTCTTTTCATGAGGGGAAATCCAAAACTCCAACATCCGACTTAAGGGGTATTCTGAAACACTTAATAAGCTGGAATCAATGACCCTGAAGGACAGGAAAACATTGAAGTTGATAAAGCAGTGATTGTATTTTTATATCTATTTCTTTTATATATACCCCGACCTTATCTCTTCTGTTCAGCCTCCGGAGGAAAAAAGAAAATACTTACTTACTTTACAGTTTGTTTCAAATCTTTTCCTATAAAGAAAATGATAATAATCTTGTAAAGAAAACTGTTAAGGTTTAAGCTATCATTTTTCAATTTTATTTGTAAATTGGCCATGAAGTTTTGAAAAGCCAAATGAGAATTCAATGTTAAAATTATTGCAATTATGAATAATTGATATTAACCCTAAAATTGTTTGTGTATTTCATATTGTTCATATATGTATGTTTAATAGAAGATATTTGTTAGTGTAGGCATTAATTTGTGATCTTTTTCGTGATATTCATATTAATAATTATTTTGTCATGTCAAATTACCATAGATTTCCACATAGATTTTTCTTTATTTGTGAAAAAAAGTCTGACCCCGGGATCGCGGCGTTACTAAGCAATTACCATATCGAATTAAATCTTTTTCATATTCCTTTTTTTAAAACACCTTGAAAATATTTATAGTCTTTAGCAATAAACTGATTAAATGTTTCTCCAATTTACTAATATTTAAAGGTTGATATATTTTCATTTTTCAGACGCACTTTTGGAAGAGAGCAGACCAGTCGTGATAGTTGATTTTTATAAATAGCAGAAGAAAAAGACATCAACCATGGCTGATTTATCTAACCGTGATCCTAATAAACTTAATAGCCATATAGAGGTACGAATATGTTACCTTTTCATGTTCTATAATCAAGAAAAAGTTTTTTTCTTTTCTTTCGTTCTTTGTAATTTATAGTCTAAGAATATTTAAAGTCTTAAAATAAAAAAAACTGGTAAAACAGATATGATATATAAAACACAACATTTGTCTAGATTATTCTTTTATTTTCAAGGTTATGTTCGAGGATGTCTTTGGAGAACCCGATGGCGTTCGATCAATGGACTGTATTTGGAAAAACAGTTACTCCTGTTTCGAATGTGGCAAGAACCTTTGTTACAAGATTATGACCACTCTTTGCGGGTTGTGCATTGCTCTGGAGTGGGGTTGCGAATTTGCCATGCTCACATTTCATCATGTGTGGTGCTGGACACCATGCTTGAGAGATTTCTCCATCACGATGGGATGTGCCAAGAAGTTCTTCCAGACATGCCTGAGCTGCTGCGTCGCCCCATGCTGTGAAGCAATTGGTGCATTCTTCAGTAAAGTTAAGATCGAGAAATCATAACACTACATCATTTAAATCGTTTAACCCTGATACTATGATTCAAAGAATGTGATGAGATGATACCAGGACTTTCTTTTTGCTGATGATATTGAAATAAAAATGAATATCATGATTGTATTGAATTTCTTAACATTTTTAAAAAAAGACGTGCATTTAAGATTATGAAATTTAGACGAAAATATTTTGGATTTAAACAGGAATTTTTATATCAAGTATGTTGCTTTGAAAAGGTTATTTATTTAATAAATTCATATTGTATTACATCATATAAATAAAATATATTTGTTTTTCTTTTATCCAATGTAAAAATTAAAATAGCGTGTTTATAACTTGAATTACATTGCTAAATTTATACTTTTCTACTAGTATGAAACGATTGAAAAATGATTTTCAAATTTTACTGAATTGATGTATTTGTTAGTCCTTAGACTATTTCATTAATGTTCATTCTAAACATAGAGAATAACTTGAGCGCAATAAGAATAAAAACAAAAAGGTGAACATTGGACAGTCGGTTGAAACGAGTCTGTTCATGTGAGGTCTCGGGTGTTCAGCATTTCTTCTTGTCGCCGTCGTCCTAAACAGTCTTCAATCATTTGAAATTATTTTGATGAGCGTTGACTGCAGATCTTCTTTTTGCTAGACTGAAATGAAATTACAACGAGCACATGCTATTTGTGACATCGTTTAAGTTTTGTGAGCATCAGCTCGCGGTTTTGTATATACACCAATTTTTATTTTTATTATCAAATGTGTAAATATGTCAAGTATTTTACTCTATAATTTTAAGATTTTCTCAATCGTAAACTTATTCATTGGAATACCACTCGTTTAAATGACAAACTTGCAATGGTAGAAAATTAATTCCACCGATTACAAAAATCATGTTTTATGATTTATTAAACTTTCGTAGATTACAAGTTTTGATAAAGTGTAAATAATTCAAAACTCTGGTTTGCATATCAGCTTACATTTTGATTCCTTATCGTCTTTAATCTTAAAATGTTAGTAGAAACTTACGGAAGAAAACAGAAAATTTGCCAAGGTTCATTCGAATACTAGTGATTTCACTGACGGATCAGTTTAAAACATTTTGCTCGGCAACGCCCATAAGTTACCGTTTTAACACTTTATAATATTCATACATGAATAATAATTTTTTTGAAATATCAAAAAAATGTCTGCTGGTTTATGTCACACCACACTTTTTACGTAACAGTAGTAATTGTTGAGGTATGTACTTTATTGAAAAGGCAAACTTATTTGTGTGTACAAAATGATTTTAAAAGAAATATGATATTTTAATGATACGGATACATAAAATGGTTTAAAGTCCCTTTTAAAAGAAATTGAGCATATTGAAATTAACATTATTAAATGTTTGACACTTAGACTATATTAATAATTTACTTTTGGTCTGGTTTATCTTAGTTATCAAGTGTTTATAGCAATACACTATCTAAAAAGTATCTAAAACTACAGCATTGAATTGACAATTTAATAACAAATCAAACTTTCACGAGATTCAGTATCATAAACACTTGATTTAAAACCTTTGCGTTCTAAAAACGTTTGGTCACCTTTAATAATTAAAAGCGATGTAAAAGTTAGTGCCAGTAATTATGTAATTCAATATCTAAATGTACGATGTATTCTCAAACAAATTTTATACCAAAATAATTGAATGCAGGCTTTATTTCAAATTATTATTACCTTATAATGAGACCTAAATGTGCAATTAGGGTTCATAATTACCCGTGTAAATATATACCCAAAGATCTTAGCATTAAGTGAGTTGATTTTGGGATGAAAAGTACAAAAAACTAGAAGAAGAAAAAACCAGCATAAAATATCGAGATTTTGTTTATAAACACATTGCAATATGGCAACCAATGAAAAGATGACATTAGACATGGAAAATAGAGATCCGAACGATTTGAATCAGCATATCAAGGTAAGGTTCTTGTTTTAGACATGATTAATGTGTAGGGAGGGCGTTGTGGCACAATGTTTGTCTTGAAAAATAAAAAAAAAACATGTACAGAAAGAAACATACAAATTGATTGAAATGTTCAGTATTTTCAAAAGCAAGTTATGAAAACATCATTAAGGAAAGTGTATGACGTTATATGCCTAATATAAAACTGGGACGTATACTATGGAAGCAATAAATGATAAAAGCTTTTTTCGTGTAACCTCATATTATATTTTACTCATGAACGCCAGCTGTTAAATTTTAATCAATTCAACAACCTTTGTTGCTGTTTTTTGTGTGTTTTTATCAATATCCTTTACTGCATTTACTGCTAAGCTAAAATATGTCCGGATTATTTTTTATTATAGGTGATGTTTGAAGATGTAATAGCGGAGCCTGAAGGGGTAAGATCCTTGGATTGCACGTGGGTCAATGGATTCAAGTGTTTTGAGTGTGGAAAGACCGTCTGTTACAGGATGCTAACTATATTTTGTGGTCTGTGCATAGCTTTATTTTGGGGCTGTGAATTCGCAGTCGCAAGCTTTACACATATCTGGTGTTACACGCCATTCATAAGGGATGTTTCAATTGGAATTGGTTGCTTGAAGAAGATATTTATGATTGTGCTTGACTGTTGCCTAGCGCCTGTTTGTGAATCGTTTGGACTTTTGTTCGCAAAAATTCGTATTGACAAACATTAATTCAAAGGACATAAGCAGAAAATGAGAGATATTTTTTTATTTTACGTGAGATGTATACACGGTTATAAACTACAAAATGAAAACAAAGGTCACCAAGTGAAAGGCAACGTTCACAGGACACAGCCCCCGACACAAACTAGCCACAGTTTGATTTAAATATTAGTTACAGTATACATTTCATAGAACGATATATTTCTGTTTCATAAGATGTAATTGTCACTAATAAGCTGTAGGTTTATAAAATAAAAATAAAATGTTGAAAGTATGTATGGAGGAATGTTAATTTTTCCTTATGAGTATGATATATTATGTATTGTTATGTGCTGTGTTTTAGAGAATAAAATTAATACATGGATATTACATACTTGTTACATACAGTTTAACTTTTTCTTAAAAAATGTAAATATCCAAGACAATTGAATTACTTCAATACTGATGTGAATTCCGCAAAACAAAAACATTTTCCCCAGAAAGGCTTTTTAAATTTAAGGCTGAGGACGGTTGTTTTGTTGACACTATTACCCGCCTTATCTTTGTCATTAAATTCACATCTTTGTCCTACTAACAGCAGGTTATTCTTTAAACTCCCTCAGCAGCTAATTGAATAAACTACAAGTGAAGGGTGGTGGAACATTTGAACGATGCGAAGGAGATATTCTGGCAAGGGCAAATCAAATTATTTGCATTATCTGTATATGTCATATTTCGGTATTGAACAATTTTGTAAACATCTTATGGCCATACAACCAAGTATGTAAAGTTTAACATTGTACAAACCCTTTTTCATAAACCTTCCTAAAAGAGTAAATTATTTTACTCACTACATAGATGAACTTTTGATGTAATGGCGGTATTGTAATTATGTATATCGAACAGGCGTTAGTGTTAAATGCCTCATAAATATTGAAAATAAAATTAACCGACAAGTTTATACAAAAATGAACGTGTACGTGCCTACGAAAGTAAATAAACATTAATATTAAATAAATTTTCAATGTTATCTTTTTTTTTAATTTTTACATGCGGTCATACGTTTAAAGACCGATTATGCTTCAGGAAAGCTCTTCAAAGATTTTTATTATATGGTGAACTTTTATTGTTTCCAAAAAATTACTTACTTGCTAATTGAACAATCCATTTTGGCAATTAATACAGTTATGGTGAATTAGTATTTTGTATGGAAGTCAAAATATTACTTTCTTTACCTTTTGCTGCGTTAAAATGTTAAATTATTTCACATTCAGCGCTACTTTCATCAGATGTGAAGCATCTTTCTTGATCCTAAATCATTTTGGGGCGTCCGTGGCTGATTGGTTACGGTCGTTGACTTCAAATCACTTGCCCCTCAACGCTGTGGGTTCAAATCCCGACAGGGACTTTTGATTCTTTCATGTGAGGCAGCTATCCAACTAGTCAGCTAGCTTACGGTGGTTCTACTCAGGTGCACGTTTGTGCCTGAATGACCAATACGGTGTTAGTGTGACGTAAAAACCCAATGTACCAACAAACCAAATCATTTTTAATGTAAGATTTCAACATACATAACTCACGAATTCGCAATTTCAAAATCACGAATTCACGATTTCAACTTTATGAATTCATGATTTCAACTTCACGAATTCAACTTCATGATTCCACGTTTTGAAATTCATGATTTCAAATCAACTATGGTTCAGTAAGCACAATCAGATTTATCTCTGTGTTAAATATCCTTGACGTTTAGGTGGATAAGAATTGCAATGATATATAGACTCGGCTCCTGAGCTTAGTTTACACCAAGGTTAGGGTAGTACATACGACAGGGTCGTCGTGTTCTTAAAGAATGTTTCTAATAGATGTCTAGATTCCATGCTTATATTTCAAATTACAGTCAATGTTTTATCTAGAAATTGCTAAGCATCATTAAATTAGTATGAAGTCCTTTTTTCGTTGGCCTTTATATATTTATAATCAAGAAATTGATAACTAATTAAAACAGTGTTCAATCAATACTGCCCAAACTTGGAATGATTATTACATTACAGCTGCTTCAATAACTTGGCTTAACGCTTCTGGAAAAATAGTTAAAATGTCCATTATATAAAGTAAGATATTGTAGAAACAGTAAACAGCTGTGTAAGTGTCACATTAAAAGAAGGTCCTCATTGGTTCAAGCACTGAGTTCAATTGAAATGCGACTTGATTTGCAAACATTCACCCGAACTTTGAATCAGATTACCACTCATGCACATATCAATAAAGCAAGTCAAAACAAACAAAAACGACTGGTAAGTATACTCCTCTAATATTTCTTGAATGTTTAAGGTACAAGTCATTAATTCGTGCTTCTCATCCCATGGAAAGCAATAGAGATAACGGGCGCAATAAGCCGAGTTTTTATTTTACCTTTCCTATTGTCAGAACAATGTTAGGGTTTGGTATTGCGCAAAAATACTCACAATTGAACTCCGTCTCAGTGCTTTTCTGAAACGCATCCTTAAATCACTCATTTTGTTGGGGTTTTTTTTACCATATTTTCAACTGAGACTATCGGTTAAGTTTAAATTACATTTGTACAGTTCGTTTTTATTTAATTTCGGTCTAATCTCTCTTGGTCTAAAAAGACTATATTTAAGTAGAACCTTCAATGTGACACTAAGTGCCATTCCATGAAAAGCGGCATATGGTCCCCAAGTAAAAAAAAATGCGTGTGCCCTAAACGAGAAAACAATGGGCGGAACTAAATAAAATGGAATTTTGAAAGGGGATCAGAGGTTATGAAGCCTGCATATCACAGATAATACGTCAAAAGACAAATTTAAAAAGCAGGCCACATATCCTAAGTGTGATTCAACAGTATTCAAGTGAGGAATACTGGAACCACCCAACAAGAAAAAAGCCAAATAGAAATAACTAAATTACCACAAGCACAACAATTATGTTGTGCTGAACGATCTTTAAGGATCGGAACTCGAGTTGAAATTCAAACTAGAAAAATAACCGGGCAGCACAGTTTAAATGCTTTTGGGTGTTCTTAGTAGGTATATTATAAATCAACAACCGACGACATATTGAGTTATAAAGTAATAAATTTGCATCCATTTTTCTATATTCCATCAATTCATCCAATAAGTCAGGTACATTGTACTCCTTCATTCTTGCAATTATTCATTCATTTGTTCATTAATTCATCTATTAACAAGTATGTACTAGCCGGTGGTACATTTATTTCCGCACTACGTACTGTCAAGCATGCGTACTCGTTTTGAAGGTTTCCATAGCGCGAGCATGATGATAAATATTTTCTGAGAGCACGTTTCTGTAATTTTACAGGTAAATGTGAATATCTGAATAAATCCCATACCAGTTACATTCAAGATTTTGCGTGATTTGTTTTGTTATTGACATTCGTAATGAAGTTTTCATGGCGCGATGATTAATCATAAGGGTTTTCTGAGAACGTGTATCTCAAGCCCTGAACCTATGAGCAGCACCCTATCATTTTAATAGCAGTAGACTGCGACATGTGCATTTCCATTTTTGTAAACCATAATGATAAAATAATCTAAAAGACAATATATTATTGGAAAATTATATGAATTACTTAATGATTGCTAAAGATTTATTTCAGGAAAAACTGGGATACATTTCTTCGCATATTTATCCACGAATCTATGGTTCAATTATGGTTCTATTCCCAACGTTTAACCCGTTTAAGTACAATGTGACCACCTTTTGACGCGTTTAGGTTTAAAATCAGCTTACTCCAGCTATTTTCTTTTAATCTTAAATATGGCAGTGGGTATGAAAGATTTTTAAGAATCTAGAAAGAAGCAAGGTTAATACTGAATTGTTCGCAAGACCTACTTACTCTTTTTATACAAATGTTCCCAATAGACTTACTTACTTTGCAATAAATCATCTGGAATTATCCATCATTATTTATGGGGTTTAAGTATCATCACGCCGTATTTTTTTTTTCATAGCAAACACGGTTATAACGAATGTTCGGTTATGAAGAACAATATTTTCTTTCTTAAATATGCTAATATGATAGTAACTATTATTTCTTTAGTCATCGAATTTTGTTTTATTTAACTTGCTATTTTATGAATATGAATTACAAATTCATAATTCTTGTCATAAAGACAAAACGAATATCATTTTAGTTGTTTTAATAATAAAAAAATAAAATAAAAGAAAAGTAGTATTACAGTACTACAATAATACTAGTAAAGAAAAAATAACATACTGCCCATTTGAAAAATAAAGTAAACAAACAATGATTTTGCACGTGATAATCCATTGTTTTACCTTTCAATAATCTTCATCAAAAGATATGTCATATATATATACTCGTAAAATCCGGTATAAATATAAAATTTAAAAACAATCAACTATCACAGATGTCTTTGAAATATAATATGTATTTTCATCACATATCATGAATGAAACGTTTGAAAAGAGACGGTATTCTGCATTTCACTTGAGCATCAGAAGTAAAAAAAGTCCTCAGTTACATCAAAATCTTAACTCTTTTGAATTTTGATCCGAGTAAATATACCTCCACAAGCCTCACAGAATGGACTACAACAGCAGTTGATAATTGTACCGAAGATTCTCTGTGCACAGCCCATGCAGATAGAGAAATCCCGTATCCAAGGAGTGTAGCACCACACATGGGCAAATGCCGTTTGCGCAAATTCGCAACCCCACATCAACGCAATGCATACACCGCACAGTGTTGTCAGGATTCTGTAACAGAGGTTCTTTCCGCATTCGAAACAGCAAAAACTTGCTTTCCAGATGCAATCTAAAGAGTGGGCTCCATCTGACTCAGCTAAGACATCTTCGAACATAACCTAGAAGCACAAAAATAACTGGGCATGAATTCAATCCTTTTTTTTTTCAATTAAATGTAATTGTTTTATTTAAGGAGTGAAATAGAATTCATATTTCCTTCTCCAAATTTTAAGAAATATCCTAAAATGATATTAAAGATTGTCTGTTACGGAATCAGGAGCAAAAGTAGTGTAACTTATTTCAAAAAGAAAATTGTTCTATATTATTTAAGTTCAAGAATCTAAAAGGAAAATTAGAAAAGAAAATACCTGAATGTGACTATTAAGACCATTTGGATCTCTGTTTTCCAGATCAACTTCTCTTTGCTGAGACATCTTTATTACGTTTTAGTTTGCCTAGTTTAAATCAAAATGTGGTCTGATGTATGCCCAAATGCTGTACCAACTGACAGCCACAAACTCTAACACAAGACCTTAAATACTAGACACCTGTTGGTTGCCAGAGATATGTTGTTATTTACTTTTACCTAGAGACCTCCGGTTTTCAAATGGGTATTTGTTATTTAAAAAATGATTATAATATTTCATCTTATTCCCTATTCATATTTATTTACATATTTCAATCATAACAGTACAATGACCAAAAGGTGTTCATTTATAATATAATCTATAGCTGGGTATTCATATTTCTTAATATATTTCGGTTTTTCAAAAGAATCCATTTTTCAATTGAGTTTTTTTCAATTCATTCCACATTGATAGGCAGTTAGAAGAAAACGTTTCCATCGACGGTATTGATGTTCGTACTCGGAGTCCATTCATTTAAAGTAACCATTCATTTGAACATAACTTTTTCATTATTCAAGCAGTTTGATATTTTTCATACTCTTTATGTTAAGGTAAAGAATAAGTCGTGTTTTTCAATGTCTACCATGAAAATATGAACTAAAATAACATCTTCCACTAGACCCATTCAATGTATATATTGATAAATCACTTTTAAAAAGGTTATGTATTTGTAGTGTTACAAAAAAAATGCAACATGGTTTGAAGTTTAATTATCTATATGAACAACAATATTTTGTTATTCAGCATTCTATCCGGTTTCTGCAAAGGAAAACAATTGACATGGACAAGAAGCTATGTAAAATCATGTTTTCATAAACAACAATAATTTGATAATTTTAGGAGAGATGATTCGTTGGAACAATAATGATGTTAATCATACTACTAAGAAGATAATGGGAATATTTATTGTCATACTGAGCGTAAGTATAGCAACTATCTATGTTAATGTCTTTATCTTTCGCATTGTCAAAAAAATATTGATTTTTTAACCATATGTTGATGGGTTTATTCGACCATTATCTTCAATGTGTTACAACGCTTGCTTTTCCTGAAACACGATATTTTTCCTTTCATATATTTAAAAACTACTAAATAAATTCAGTTTTCAAAAGTTTAAAAATGTAACAAAGAAGTGTATACCAAAATAAACTAAGACATTTTATTATACATGGGAACATAAAGGATGGTCACAGCCATGAACGGTCATGATATTTGTGAAAAGATTACTCATACTTGTGAATGTTTCTTTGGTAACATTGATTCTTACACAAAAAGTACTGTGATATAAGCATTGCTTTATAAAGTATACCAAAATACATATATGTTTTTTTTGTTTTTTTTTGTTTTTTTTTTTGTTGTTTTTTTTTGTTTAAACGTTAAGATCAATAAATGGTACATTAATGCATTGTATTATGTGAGAATACTATCAATAATAATTTTCATTTATTGTTTGAATTGAGATAAAAAAAAAAATGATACTTTAACTTAAGTAACACTCACCCTTACATTGTTTAACTTTTGAATGTTCAAATATTACTATTTCATAATTGTCACAAATTCATGTATTGTTTGATGTCGATGTGCTGTAATAAATGCATAAATCTGGATACATTTCTATCCTGTTCTATTATTTCATCGTTTCGTCACGCCAGTTCATGGAACAAATCCATATCTATCAGCTGTATGGCCCCATTATAAGTAAGCAAAGACCAACATTTCATTTTTAAAACATTTTTTTTTTAAAATATAAGAAACCTCAAATATTTTCAAATGAAGAGAGATAGGATATCCGAAAGATAATCCGAAACGACAAAATTGAAAATTTTGCAGGCTCGGATAGATGGAGTCCGTTCATGGACAGTACGAGAAAATGCAAGTTACAATCTACGCCCCCAGGCACTGCAATCACACCATTTTGTATCAAAAATATATAAAAAAGATAAAAGAAAAATACGGACATGACAAGTTAACATATATCTTCTTTCAAAATGACCAAACTGTGTCCAATTGGTTCTGTATTTGTATCTAAAATTTCTCCCATACAATGTTAAAGCGCTTAGCTGCTTGTTATCAATAAACACAATTGTTTATGAACCATGTAAATGTCCTAATAAATTTTGAGATAATTTTAATTAAGTGTCATGTTTACTTATATCAGTTCTTTATTACGTATTTTATTACGTATTAAGTAAATCATCTACATTAAAACTTACATCATTCTTGAACTTTGTCAGTTTTTTTCTTAAGTAAACATTACACAAAGCAAAACGTAAATATGACATTTCGATATTAAAGAATAATCAACTACTTTGTGTACATTAAAATATAAGTTCAATTCTTGTTGATTTGTCTAATTTTTAATCCATTTTCTTATCATTCAATATCTGTTTACATTGTGTTTTAATATATATTGAGTTAGAGTTCTTTGCTTTGATGACGAACAGGAGTCGAGAAAGACATTCAAAATGAAACATTTGCTTGTAGAGACACTGCGTGTCTTCTACTGCCCTTACACTATCCATTGATATTTTTTTTGTCGGGAACAGTAACCTTTCTTACAATTTAGGTTAAAAGAATATTGATAATCTAATTTATATTGAATTAAATAAACTAAATAGGCGGGTTTATATATTTCAGACGCACGAGAGGCAGACACTATGGCAACTGGTCGAGAAAACTTCTATAAAATGACTGGGCATAAGAATTCTTGTTTTATTTGAAAACCAAGGGTTTAATAATCTCAAGGGATTAAAATTTGGAAAATGGCTGACATTGATTTAGAAAATCGAGATCCGAACAACATAAATGACCATTTAAAGGTATATTTATTACATTGATAGTATGCAAATCATTCTCTTTTAATACACAATCTTTAAAGGATTTGTTGATGTTGTTTTTTTTTCTAATCAATATCAAAGAAGCCAACGTTTCAGACAGAAGCAAATCTGCATTTTCCGACTGATCGGCTGTTCTTTGTTTGGCATTTTATACATGCATTCTATGTAATTAGAACAAAGAACACGTAAATGCAACGAGGTCTATTTCGCAAAATAAGAATGAAAAGAGTTAAAAATGTAGAAATTATTTCTTTAAATTTATTTTCGATACCACTATAAAGTCTTGTAAGACCTATTAATGTAAATGGAACAGTTTTTTGGGGGGATGTCGTCTGCACATGATAAACAGATTTAAGAGATGACGAACTACGATCCCTTATAAATTGTATTTACTGTTCAATCCATTCACTGTCATTTTTTTTTCTTAGTGACGGCAATAATCTTTACCTTTTTGAGGACCGAAATGTCTAGCATGCTCGTAAATACAAATTGTTTGAAGAATTTAATACAACTAGTTCAAAATATTTTACTTTGAAGTGAAATTTTGTGCATACTAAACTCGTCTACACATACATTTAATGTTCTTACCAAGAAGTATTTTCATTTACATATACATAAATGAATTCCCTATTTTAGGTACAATTTGAAGACGTTTTGGCAGAACCAGAAGGTATACGATCCATCCCATGCATATGGACTTTGAGTTACAAATGTTTTGAATTTGGAAAATCGATCTGCTACAAAATTCTAACAACATTTTGTGGACTCTGCATTGCGCTCGGCCTTGGCTGTGATTTCGCAATGGTGGCGTTCGATCATGTCTGGATATGGACCCCGTGTATGAGAGACTTTACCATCTGCGTGGGTTGTTACCAGAAGATTTTTACCACTCTTGTCAACTGTTGTTGTACGCCGATCTGCGAAGCATGTGGTGGTTTCTTCAGCAAAATACGTATCCAAAAGAGTTAAAACAGAAACAATAATGATATAGGTTTTGGCTTAAACTTGTTCTGGTTCTTTATTTACATAATCTTTAAGTACGTGCTGTGTACATAAAAATCGCCAAGTTTATATCAGGAATTAAAAATACATACACATTTATTGCATTAAAGAAATTATCAAATATTTATGTATGTGCAAACCATAACATAGGATATGTTCTACCAAATATTGTCAACAAAACCTTACTTAATTGAAAAAAAAAACTTTAATAAAGGATTGTTTAGGATTCTAGGATTACTTTCTTACAAGATTCGTAATTAGTTCTATTTTAGTACTTTATTCTGACACTGTGAACTTTCATGAAACTTTACATAATATAAGCAGTCTGACATGCCCCGGTCATTTCTCAGCCTTGTACGCTCTCTCGTTTTCGGTGCACCGGTTCGGTGCCTTCTAGGTACCCTGCTAGTGTCGTTGGTTGGGTTGTGTCGGTAACAGCGTTGCTTTGTTGCTTTTTGTTCTTATTTTTTCGTAGAACGGCACCGAAAAAATTGAGTGTCATGTATGGTTTTATTGTAATAGACAAAATGATTTTCAAATATGTTTTGTGTAACTATAAAGATAGTATGATATTGGATTTACTATGTAAACATCTTTGATTGTACATTTCTAAAGATATTTTCATGGTTAAAATTTGTTATATCAACAGGGAGGACCATCGTTTAAAACAAGCGTATTTTCTGTGATGCCTAGATTAGATAAATAGATTTTATATCAATAAAACATAAACGCAATTACGGGGATAAATTTGATTTTATAAAAGCACAACAATGTGTTGATTGTATTAAAGGGATATTCAGGCAAAATAATGACAAAAATATTAAAATGCTCTTATGCACTCAAATCACGATAAAATAACTTTTCATGAAGTTTCAGCATGAATTTCTGTTTAAATTCTATATATTTCGGGTTTAAAGCGTAAATATATTTATATATATTGAACAAAATGAAAACGCCAATAGAATCGCCAAATGGTTTTTAAACAAGTCAGATGACTTGAACAAACCCTTGAAGTTACAAAAACAGATATTGTGGATATTGTATGATTGAAACAAGCCTAATTCATTCATTAGACATGTTCTTTAACGTTTCCAGAGTTCACTTTGACAACTTTTGTGAAATGCTAGCGTTCTAACCTGACCCACGCAGGCCAAGTTAGGAAACCTCCATTTATTTCTTTATATGGAGAAAAGTTTTGTTCCTTTGACTGCCTAATATATTCATTTTGAGGACATTTACAGAAAAATGAATGAAAAAGTAAAAACTAAGAAGTGAAAATTTTGCCTGTGTCTCCCTTTAAGATGAATTTTGAATCACAGATTCACTGAAATGGTCATTCCAGATTAAGTGTTCGAGGAAAACTTCAGATAAACAAAAAGATGGATTGAAAGAGAGAAAATGGACAAGTATATGTCAAGTCGCGTTCTTTTTTCTTTTTCTGATTCTTTAATTGCTACTTCATTTTTGTGTCTGAAAACTTCGCATCTTATATGATTCACGGACCTTCCTTCGTCGGTAAAATCCGAAAAGATACCGTACACTTCTAGTGCGACTAACTCCAAACTTGACCGAGACATAAATTAATAGGTTTTAGTTTCATACAATTAATATTGCTGATTAAAGTCTGATATGTCCCGAAAATGTTTAAGTCTTTTGTCGTTGGTTATTGATATGTAACTCTTGTCGTAGAATTTTACCAGAGTTGATGATGTCTGTGAAATGAATCAGAAATTGATTTCTGCATAACTTGAAAAACATGAACAGTTTAAATAATGCATAAATATATTATTTATCTCTCTCGACTGATTTTGTATAATTTACACAACATAACCTCGTAAAGACGAAACAATTTGAAGAATTAAAAAGTGTATTCGTTTACTGTCAATAGTTCTATCTTTGGCGATTCAACTGATGTATTCTTTTTAAGTTTATTTTATAGCTGAACACAAAGCCTGTAATTTTAAATTCATATTCAACTTGTTTATCATGATTATTTATTATTTTTACTTGCCGTTAAAATTTTGTATTTTAAATAAGAAATGTATTTTAATGAAAACACAATTTGAGAAATCTTTTTCCATTGTGAAGACAACAAACATATACCCGCATTTGTATAAGTGTGTATTCAACAAAGTGTCAAACAGACTCTTTGACTTCTTTGTATGGTGTAAAATAAATATAATATGTAAATCATCAATTGTAAAAGATATGTTCGTAGGCGGTAAAATATCTTTTCAATGTGAAAATTAGTATGAATCTTTGGTCTTGTTTTAGAAAAAGTAGATATTCAAGTTTCACGCGCATAAATCGGAGGCTTTTTTATACGAATACCAGAAACACACACGCTGATTCTTGTTTAGACCTGTTTTCAAGAGGAATACGTTGAAGAAATAAACTGTAGCTTTAAAGGCACATTATGCCTCAGAAATGAAGAAACTGTTAATTTCTTAAGAAAGGGCAAACTTGAGGATTTTTTTTAATAATGGTTAAGGAGCATGTTAGATACTTGTTATCTGAAGAAAGTAGTGTTCGATGTGTCATAAGTGGTCATAAAATAGTAGTAAAATGTAAACAAAGGAGTACTTTTACTTTTATACAAAATACTATATCACTATTATTTTACTTATTGCCAAAGACAACAGAAGAAAAAATGGTCCAGTACAATAGTTAATTATTGTGAACTTATAAAACAGAAGAAAAAAATATCAGGCCTTAGTTGTTATGAAATTAAAAGACAGCAAAATATTATAAAAGCTTGGAAACCAAACTGTGCCTGTAGCTAAAATAAACAACTCGCCTGTGATAGATTAACCTGACAGATTCTCGAGACCATTCTACATTTAAACAAGTCATGATTATCAGGAAATTGTTGGTTGAACAATTGATTGTGTTTTGTTGTTTGGGTTTTAGTTTGTATTTTGTTTTTTGTTATATAATACTTTTTGTAACCGACTACACTGTAATTTTGTCGGAATAATGGAATAAACGGTAAATAAACCTAAACATTCAGCAGTTAATAGGGGTGTAATTACTATAATGACTTCGATCTGATCGCTCAAACAACTTGTTCTATAAAGCTGTATTATTGATATCAATATCATTCGGGTATAAAAAAATATATTTTTAAATACTATTATATAATAAATGTACGGACGTCGGATGACTGATAAATACATCTTAATATGCTTGAAAATGATTCTCCTCGATGAAACAGTCAGTTCATCCAGTTCAAAATACAAAAAGGCAATACAAAAATTTATGTCAATGTTGCTTACATTTATAAATATAGTTGATGTAGACTGTGCAACATACTGTATGTATTAATTATTTATCTTTCTTTTCTATATTCTATTACACTTCCTTGGACATTAATACGCCATGTGTTTTTACGAACTACTGACTCAAAATCGATTGCTTGTATTCCTGCACTTACATTGTGTCGGTAAACAGTACTTTATGGATCGTATTGAACGCTTAACTTCAAAACAACTTGTTTTGTGCGTTAAATTGATTCTAACACTAATTTTGATCGGGAAATTTTCAAATTGATAATCTCTAAAGAAATATATTGTCAAAATACGATGTTGTAACATACGTCATAAAATCCTAATTGGTAAACTACTAATAATCTTCATGTAGCATTTGCGATTTTTGACCACATAAAAACATAAACATATCCGAAGAAACTATTTTGGCTACAATATTTTGAATGATATACACTGGTGCTTAAAAGACTAGATACTCGTGAACATCGATTGCTCTGTTCGAATAACAGAAAAATATGAGTATTTGGATACCTATAGGAGCTAAAGTCTGTAATCTTATTACAGGAAATGACAAAAATGAATTTTAAGACAAAAATGTTTTGTTTTATTCTCTTATTATATAAGAAGAAGACATCTCAATGAAAGAAAATGTTATTGCAAAATTTAAAAAACAAACATCACAATATAAATATCTAAAAATGTAAATATATATATAACTAATCTAAAGATGACAGCGATGTAGATGAGAGTCGATATAAAATTGCACTTATCCCCAAGAAGTTATAGCCTGTTTTATAAAAGAAAGAAAATATGCACTCTTTATCGCTCAATCGTTCGAATTATGCACTTTTATGCTGCTAAACAATTTTCCAGCAGCAGCAAAACAAGGCTCAATAAAGGAATGAACTAACACTCCGTACACTTTCTGTAATGGTTTCACTTGAATGGAGAAACTCCGGATGCTTGGCTGGTAATACCAAATCATGCAAAATGAAAGGCACGCAAAATGGAGACCCCAGCACAAAGCGCAAGGAACACCACAAAGCGCTGACAGAAATTTGTAACACCAAAGCTTTGTGTCGGTGAAAATCCGATAGGTCGCGCCCCAGATGGTTCCAAAACTGTACGTTCCCTCCGGTTCCGCAAAAATCTCTTCAAAATCAATCTAAAAAAATGTATTAACGTAAATAACATAAAATTCAAAGCAGATTTCAACATGACTTTTTTGTTTGCAATTCTAAAATAGGCAAGTGAGTTATTACAATGGGGCTTAATGGCGACACAAAAAAATCAAACGTAATACAACTGACTGGAATATGTCAAACTATATTTAGTAGTAATATATTTAATTTGAACAGTATAAACAAGACAACATATGCAGCAAAGACAAATTGGTCTGGACACGTGATGAAAGCCATAAATACGGACCTATGCGTCTGCTTCTTTTTTTTTTCTTTGAAATGTTGTAATCAAGAATTTTACCCTTTGTTCACATGGTATTATGAATAAGAATCTGACATTTTTAGGAAAAACTAGAATATTTTTTAAAAGAAAATATTTTTTTTATTATTATTATTATTTATTCATTTACACGTTCTTATATGAATAAATGTTTCATTTCAACATATTTGGATTTAAAGTTTTCTACATGTATTATAATTATGTATCTTTAAACACGGTGTATTTTTAAAGCCCAAGCTGGGTAACACCGTTTATCAGCAAAGTAATATGTCTAAAGGTGGGTCTAAAGAGATTGGGGCCAACCCCCCATACCTTGCATTTTTATTTCATATATTAAATTGTCATTAAACTATAATATTTTGCTAATGTTCACAATAAAAGTCAAGATAAAATGTATAAATCTATACATCTGCTATCTGCAGTCCACTGTCATTGGTTAAATTAAAATAATTATAATAATAATTCCAAAATATTTGTGTGAAAAAAAGTTTAAATATTTCTATGTATCATGCTTATGGTGCGTTTAAGAAAACATTGTTAAGCGATCAAAATCCTATTTTGAAATGTCAGCATAAAATTTTGTTCCGGAATATTTTAATCTGTCTAATATTTATGTTTGATACAATGCATAATTGATTTTAATGAATTGATCCAAATTTTAATCCTGATTTGAAACTGATCGTTTAATTATCTTTACACTTACTATTGTACTTTCTAGATAATAATATGACATGATTTTATGCCAATTAGCAGATTTTATTTTCATTCATTATTATAATGCAAGAAAAGGAAATGTTTTCATCCCAATTTATCGATATAACATGCTTAAACCCATAGAAACAAAACTAGGATCAGTTGATCCTTATCCTATTTATTTTCCTTTTTACACCGGACATGAGGTATATGCACCTAGATAGTAAATATTCAGAAATGCTAGGAAACCTACATTATTCACTTATTATTACGTATTATTGATATTTTTGCTCCATTTTTTAACGTTAGCGTTAAATGATTATTAGATTGTTTCATCAAGTTATTAACACATTGTTTTAGAATAATGAACATATGAGTGAAAATTATCTTACCTTTACTATGCCATTTACATCCTCGGGATCTCTGTTTTCTGGTATTTTACTTTTCTTTCCCTTCATGTTTATTGGTTTAGTTTTTGTTTTCGTTTTAGTTGCTTGTTTAGTCTTTGCGTTTGGTTTCGGAGACACGCTATGAGTGCTGGCACGAGTAGATTGCAGGTTCGGCGACATCGATGGTGATGAATTATGTGTCAAAACCGGTTGTTCTTCAATTGATGACTTTTTGAAAGCTAGCATAGCTCTTGGTGATGCCGGTGCGGTGCTTGGTGATCCCGTATCAATTACTGGCGACTTTATTTGCGCGACTTCTACCGTTGCGGGTCCGTCACTTATGTCACTGTGGTATGATTGTCCAGAACGCCGTCGCGTGTTATTTAGACGGATTACGTTTAAATCCTCAAAAGAAGACGTAGACGCCGATGATGCTCCGCTGGAACGCCGAGATTTATCATTTACGCGTTCATTTAGAGGAATATCCACTGATGGAGGCTCCATCATATTCGCTTCCTTCTCATCGTCTGACATGATTATATCCTAATGTTTAGGTAGATCTACAACAGAAAAAGCAGAAACTAATCTCCCGATTTTTGTTTTTGATCTATTGTTACGTGTCTATTATTTACCAAGAGAAGCTATCTCTATATTCTAGCTGTGCAATCACTAAGTATTACCATGGGACATTACGGGGGTCTGTTTTACATCTTAATTCTGAACCAAATGTAACTTTCATTACAGTAATTGGAAAAGCTTATACATTATCCTCACTCCGGAAAATATGACCAAGTGACACGTGAAAAACGTGCGTTTTTACTCATATTTTTATACATCCCAATTAGGTAATTAACTGCCGTGTCATCATTTATTTTTCATAAGATTGTATTTAGGTAATGTCACATATAATGGAGAGCTCCGCAACACCATCCCTGTACTTATGATAAGAGAAATTAAATAATATATATATCAAAGATAAAAGAACAAAGTATCTTAATTAATCAATTAACTATATTAATTGATAAAATACATTTTGCAAATATAACTTAATATCAATCTGTTTCATGTGACATGTTTTTGCGTCTTTAAATGGCTAAAACACATTACCAGCAATAAAGTATTTTGAGTCCGAGGAATTAAAATAAAGGGTCAGCTAAAATGTTGTTGTTGTTGTTTTTGTTGTTGTTGTTTTTTGTTGTTTTGTTGTTGTTGTTTTTTATTGTTGTTTTCTTTTGTAAAACATCTTTAACACAGCATTCATGAAGTGCAGATAAAACTTAATATTGATTAGTGAAAAAAATTTAGTTAATGTCACTTATTCTAAAAATTGATAAAATTCAGGTTTATTAAAGTAGCAATGCTTCTACATGCATGTTCATGATAATTTTCATAAATTTTGTGAAGTAATTTACTCTTGCAATCCACATGAATTACGAACAAAAGGTCAAAATTTGCGAATTATTGTGATATAATACTGCAAAAATCAGAAATTAATCGCACATTACATGTATTTTCCTTAAAGACTTGGTACATTTTTTCTCAAGTCTGAACTCTTTAAGACATTTTGTCTCATCTGGGGGCATTCAGCTTTAAAGTGTATATGGAAAAGTTTAATGTCAGTATGATTATTTTTTTCTACCTTTTTATATAGAAGAAGAAAAGCTGATTCATCATCAGATTTAAGAGTCATTCTCTATTCATCGTTATGACGTCTTGAAAACGTGCGTTTCATAGTGAAATGAATTAAACGCCTATTGATCCAAGTGTGGTGTTTTTTCCCAATTGTGTTGAATGCAAAGCCATTAATTTGAACATGATCAATAGTTTTGTTTACGTCCCTTTAAGAGATGAAAGCATTTCTAATCTTTAGTTCTATCTGTTTGTGTGTTTTTAGTATGTTAGTTTGTGGGTTGTTTTTTTCTGTTTTGTTTTGCTTTTTGTTGTTGTTGATATTTTTATTGATTTTTTTTTTTTTTTTTTGGGGGGGGGAGGGGGGGGGTGTTTTTTTTTTTTTTTTTTTTTTTTTTCATGTGAAATATTTGTGAGTCTAAGCAATGGTAAGTTGGATTACGAAATACATTAGATACCTTTACCGCTCTTTCTTCATTTGTTCTGACTTTGTATCTAGGATGACTGAAACTTATAGGAGAGTTTCCAGTATAATGTATCAAGTTACAGTAAAGAAAAAAATTAAACCATGAATAATCCTGATCAAGCTAAATACCTGAAATTGATTTGTCCATTTTTCAACCCTCATCACGCTAAATATCTGAGATGGACTTGTCCGTATTTCAATCTGGACAAAACCATCTATCATTTTAGGATTTTTTTTCAAAAAGTACTGACCATATAGCAAACAAGGCAGACCATGATTAAATCTGATGTGCCGGGTCAGCTCAATCTTCACTGGACGCATGTGTCGAGTAAGTTGCTACCAAATGTGTGAAGAGGCCAATGGTTAAAGATTAATACTTCTGTCGGAATCATTGTTAAAACTGATTTCATTCAACGCATTTTTTTTTTAAAAATCTGTATTTGGTGCTTATATGTGCACGATTACCATCGGGTTATTTGCTAACATGCTTTAAATATGATTTGAAAATAAGTCAATGCTTAATAAGGACTATTTCTTGATTTTCAATTATCAGGGTTTCATTAAATAAATAGATACTTGTACAATTTTCTTTCCCTTTTACATCACCACGCGTTATATGTTTATTTAAATTTTGCCGCTCTTATGAAGTTTATATCGTAGTCACGTGGTTTAGCGTTGACGTTCCAATTTGATATTTTTTCCGATATTGACTGTTTACGTACTACGTAGTGTGAAATTTAAATCAAAGGTGGTTTAAGTATGAAAATCGATATAGCACTTTTTGTATACCGTTAACATGTTAAGTACAGAACAAATAGCAAATCTGTAAATATCCGTCCATAAATTAACTATTCTTAATTTCATTGTAAAATGTATCAATGACGGCGTAGTTGAAAGCAATGAACACAACTAAACGCAGTGAAGTGATACATTTTCTTTCGTTGTATAACTTATGTAGTTCGTACATAAACGATGCTTTTATTCTTTTTTTCTGTTTTTTTTCTCTCTATTTTAAAGCGTGGAGAAATATACTTTCAAAATCACGTTTTCATATTCATGTCTGAAGAAAACATTTTATCAAAAGTGTCTCTGGTGTTAAACACACAATCATATACACGTACATAAGTAAATGTTCATAATATTATACAAAATATTTTAAAGCTGATTTCTGTAGGCTTGGTGATGATTTCGCGCAATATTCGTCCCATTTCATTTTTTCACGAACATAAAAAATTCATCAAAATAACCCGAATATGAAAAATGTTTGGCCGTTTTAAACTCAAATTTGTCTCGCACAAAAACACGATTTTCAATTCAATTTTGAGTACATTTTTGCATTATCTTTAACTAATCTTTCCGTTTCCTGTTTGAAGTAAGAAATTCAAATTAAATGCTTTAAGATTTTTGGACCTCAGTGGAGTTTCTTTAGATGATTGAAAATATTTCACGTCATATCTTTTCAAGTAGTTAACTTATTTTTGATAAAAGATTATTATTTGAACCCGTGTGAGATTTCAGTGGGGCGTATTTTTACATTTTAGGCGAATTATTTCAAGTATTTGAACAAGCTCGGGTAACTTCATGTTTTTATAGTAAAGCTGTAAATCACGGCTTATCAAATTAAATAAGACAGAATTAAAATAAAGTTTTTTTATTATCCTTTTATCATGTTGATAAAATAAATAAACAAATCCTTTTTAAAAAAAGAACAAAATTTATTGAACTATAATGTCAAGACTTTTAATTTCATTCAAATTCAACAAAATGATCGTGTTGCTAAAAGTTTCATAAGTTAATTCGTATGCTAAAAGTTGTTGTCTATAAAATTCCATTCGCCCACGTTTTTGTTCAGTTAAGATTTCTTGAAAGCGCTGAAGAATAAGCTGCACGTCTGGCAGCACGGTTCACATGCACACGTGACACACTGAGCCCAGACTTTCTTCAGGAAACCGCAGTTTAGATCCATGTATTTGATGCATGGTGTGAAACACCAAATATGGAGAAGAGACGCTTGTGCGAACTCACAACCAAGCTCCGCAGCGATACAGATTCCGCAAAGAAGTGTTGCGACTTTGTAGCATATGCCCTTCCATAGATTGAAGCACGTGTAAGACAACTTCCACACGCAGTCAATGCTGTGTGTTCCCTCCGGTTCGGCTAAAACATCTTCAAACTTGCACTGAAATGATAATAGAATATTAATACCAACATACAGTAAATTGAATGACATTCATTTCATATTTCAAACGGAACACTGAAAGGTAATCAATTTTGATAAATATTTGCGGCAAAAAGTGCACGAGTTATAAATGCGCTGAAGAAAGGTGAAATCGTCACAGATTATATAATTAGCCTTAATATCTATTAAGCGGTGCTACATTTATCTGATAAAAATAGGAATTTATAAATATTGTCTTACTCAATGTTAAAAATGATTTGCTTTGCTGAAATCAGTTGATTTCTTATATTCCTCAAGTCATTTTGCATCCAATCAAAGTGTCGGAAATCAGATCTACTATGTAAGTTAATAAATCACTGTTTATGACATTAAGTTAGGGTGCGAAAATAATAATATAAAGATAAAATAAATAAATAATAAATAATAATATAAAGATGTTCAAAATATTTAGTAAATAAAAGATAACAAAAAAATTATTGTACTTACTGAAAGATGGTCGTTGATATTATTAGGATCTCTGTTTTCAAGGTCAACACTATCAGACATTGTGTTTTTATGCCAGTTTCTTTCACAAATAATTAGTCAAAATATGTACCAGGGTCTATGTTTGAATCCGCAACAACAGTTCTGCAGCCGTTTATATACGGTGTCACCGGTCTGTCTTAAACGGCTTAGACACCATGGGAATACTGGCTTTGCTTATTTGACCAGGCCAAGGTAATCCTTCTATTAGCCTTAGAACTACACATGGTCATTACATCCGGGACATACAGCCTCCGTAATTACCTGAATTACTTCATTACTATTTGTTGAGCAAATTTGTTTCTATATATTCCTCTATTTACACATCCACATGTAATATTTTATTTGATTATATGGATGTATCTGAAAGCTAAAAACATCAGGTATGTTAATGACACTATTGTAGTTTTAACTTGTCAAATGTATTCGAAAGTTTGTCTCTTGTTCAATATATTCGGCAGCTTCATGCAAAAATATTTTGTCAAAGTTGTCAAAGTTATGATTTATCTAACATTCAAAATGCTTGATGCGACATTTATGAAGCAGTAAAGACATTGAACATGCAAGAAATTAGATAGTATTAGAAAATTAATCATGTAAGATATTAAACCAAATAAAAGCTAAAATAGTTTGAAGTTGATTTCTAAAAATTTGTTTTGGCATTTAGTCACATCAAACTGCAATGGTCCACTGGCGTTTTTTCTTCAGCTTTTACTGGTGGAGAAAGGTGCCTTTCCACGAGCGTTCAGTCACGAGCGGTTGTTGGACCACCAGCGTTCAGTAAGCTACATTAAAAGCCTCCTAATATTAAAGAATTCAATGTCCCTCGCAGCATTTGAACCCACAGAGGTGTGGGGCAAGTGGTTGGAAGACAACGACCTTAACCACTCGGCTACAGACGCCCCTTAATTTGTGATGCGACATAAATTATGCTTATAATGGTTAGTTTGAATTAGTTCGGCTAGGGATGACACTATTTGCAAAAGCCAGGCAATCCATTTTTATAAACAATTATTTGGCTGTGGAAATGATTTCCGGTGTTCTATAGAGTACTGATGTTAAGTTATTTAATAATTCATTTAATACACAAAAATTAAGTTGGATAAGTGAAACAATTATAACGCGTTATTTCACGCGTTATTTCGTGGTTGTTGTTTTTTAATTCGATAATAAAAGTGTAAAAATGCTTACATATAGTTTATAGTTATCAGCATTGAAGTGTAGACGCGTGATAGTGTGTGTCTGGAGGTGATGGGGGGGGGGGGCAAATACCCTCCACTTACTGTCGATCTGTTATGACAAATCAAATATTTCTGTCAGAGTGCCAGACATAAAAACTACGCAAACAACTTGAGTATTTGGTTATCTTTTTAAAGATAATGAATGTATATATATATTCGTGTCGAGATATATTTACTTTGTAAACAAAACATCAAAAGACAGATCTACAAAAATATACATGTATATTTATCAAAATACAAAGACAAGAATACAAAACTATTTTATCAAAACTGTTCTCTACATTTTGGTATATATGTATGATATGTCCTATGGCGTTTTGTATCAAAATATCACAAGGTAGGATTATTACCAATCCTCGATTCTGCTCACGATTTCTTAAACGCATGAAAGATCTGTCCACATGAAATACAGCACGGGTCAACACAGCACGATAGAATGATGGAATAACATTTCCTGTAATAGTGGCAGTTGATCTCTAGAGCTTTAAGAAATGGTGTAAACTGCCAGACATGGTTGAATGCAATGGATGCGAATTCACTCCCAGCTGCGCGGCAATACAGCACCCGCAGAACAGTGTTAGCATCTTGTAACAACATCCCTTCCAGCACTCAAAGCACGAGTAAGATAATCTCCAAACACAGTCTATACTCTGTACGCCTTCCGGTTCCGCCAGAACATCCTCAAATGCGCACTAAAAATAGAACAGTGTATAGTTTCAAGTTTTTATTTTTGAGAACAACATAGTTTTTACAAAATAACACTAGTGCAAACGATCAAAGATTATCATAGTTTTTCAGAAGATTATAAATTTAACAATTTATGTTGACAAGAATTTTTATGTATTTTATTTTTTATGGTATAGATCAGTCCTGCTTCGGCGCCATATGACCTTAATTGTGTGGTGCGCCGTAAAACCAAACAAAACAAATATATACATGATGTACTAGCACCCAGTTTCAATTAAAAAGGTTATAATTTCAGAGTTCATTAACGGCGACATTGACACATTACTGGTCACACCGCGCCGAACACTGTAAAACGTAGGCCTAAAAATCTTAATTTCAAGTTTTTCGGAAGTTTACAGTATTATTTTACAAAACTAGTAAATTCGTACTAGCCGATTTTTTAACGAAAGAAATGAATGCTACTTTTTCTCATTTTGGTATTCTATATGTATACGAAAATCTGAATAAACTGTGGTTCATCACAACAAAATAACCTGAAAATTGCAGGCCCTGTTTAATTGAGTCTGTGCATGAGGGATAATGAATAAGTGCAACATCACTCACGCCTCATGCACCTGAATACACCACTTCGAAACCCCTTTCATTATACTAACATCTTAGTTGGATCCAAACAATGCAAGGACCGAAACCAAACGCCGGTCCCTATATTGTTGAAAGCCATCCGTGATGTGTACTTTTTTGGTTAAAGTCGCCCAATATATATGGTCTTGAATAAGCTGATATATTATATACAAAACTTGCAGACAATAGTTTATCATAATTTTTACACAAATAAATAAGTTTATTACTATAGAAAAAGAAAAATGAACTGACCCCATAATAAAAAATGGTAAAAGCTTATTAAAATTGGCCAATTCTTGTCAAAATCAAAAGAATCCCAAAATATGCAGATTGCATCCGGTATTTCTATTTCTATGCTTGCTCGTTTCCAAATATATTTTTACAAAATGGCCAGATGAAACTAAAAACTGAAAGTACATGATACCGAAAATTTAACGCCGATTTTGACTATAACATTTTATTTATCTATTGTTAAATAAAGAGTTGTTAGTCTAATTCAACTGCTCCAAATGATTGTTTACTTTCTTTCTTTTGATTTTTGATATCAGATTGTGTATGTCCACTTTGCATCCATTTTACTTTTTCATAAATACTTTTTTAAAGATGTCTCGAGGATTCTCTGTTTATACTCATTTCTAAGATATATAATATTTGTTTATAACCTGTAGTGTAGCAACTCAAAAGAATTTATTTATGTAGATATTTTAGGAAGAAAAAAAGAGATATCTTTTTTAAACATTTTTTTAAGATACTGACATTTTTATTGATGATTTTATTTCAAAACAATTTTGAGCTTAGTGCAAAACCATATTTTGTAAAACATTTTGTAAAAATGATATTCGAACAATCCTTTAAATTGTCGATCAATATTAAAATTATTTTTTTCGAAATTTTGAGATACGATAAGTTACAAAAATAGGATAGCCTTGTTATATGCGTTTGTACGTTAATTGGTAAATGAAGCGTTAAAAGTTTTACCATGTAATTGTCAAAAGGATCGACATTTATTTGTTTAGCTATAAGTTTTCTAAAATCGTGTACTTTGTTAAATCAGAATAATTGAGCAAATATTTGACAAGTTAAGTAATGTTTAACCAACAACAAACCTGTATATGACTGTTTATACAATTTGGATCTCTGTTAATTAGGTCTACCGACATTTTTTCGATTTCTGAAATAAAATCCTTAAGATTTGTCCAAAAACAAGCTACTTAAAAGTCCAACCGATCACCAATGAGTTATTTCAAAAACTGACTTTATTCCGTTGATATTGAAAAATATCTCAAGACAAGATTGTTCAAACATTTCTTATCAGTAAGTTTTATATACTGGCATTCGCAATTTTCAATCAAGTATATTTCCTACATACCAAATACCCCCCCCCCACCGTCTTACTCTTATCACCCCGTTTTAAGTGGGTAAGTGGATTGGTACGTACACATCAAACTATCTCACTTTAATAAAAATTGTGATAAATTTGGTCTAAAATTTACGATTTTATTAGATGGGTACTATTTATTGGTTTGACATCATATTTTTTTGTTTAAAAATGTTTAACGTATCTTTAAATTGTCACAATTTGATTGGATTGATGAAATATATGTGCTTAGAGTAATATAAGAACATTATTTCGTTTATTAATATTTCACTATGGGTTGCCCTTACTCAAAAACATTCCAACATCTCTTTATTTCTTAACAATACTCGTCTGCCAATAAACTAATTTATAAAAAAAACTAGTCACTAGTTGTCATTTTTATATGAAATTGTTTATTGTCTATCCATGGCTACAAAAGCTTCAAACAAATAAATCAGTCAATGTTGTTTAAAAATAACGAACATGTTTCTATTATTTTTAAAATTTAAACCTATGTAAAGAATTTTAAATATTAAAATCTGTATTATACCATTACAATCATTTTCATATGATAGGTTTAAATATCTTATAATAACAATATTCAAAAATGAAAACATTGACAGCGAAACCTTTTATTAATACAAACATTAGTGCCATCGATCCATTAGTATTTCTATTCATTAAGCCAACTTGTACAAGTGTCAACAGAAGTTGCAACCAAATTGTTTGGACAGCGTTTAAGCCTCACTATATTTTCATAAGCGGCTGGTAATTGAGCAGCTATGAACTTTAAACATAATTGTAGTATTTGAACATATTTACATACTCCTTTTTGTTTGCTTTCTCACTTAAACGCTTGTTTGAGCAATACGGTTTCTTGCTGTAGCCATTGTTACCGTAGAAACGGTATACGGGTATATAACTGGCGGTGTGTAGGGGCTTGCTACCAGAGCTTTGACAGCCCAGTCCGGCAACTCACGTGAATATTTAGCAAAGTCTGTGATAGATTTAAAAAGTCAAAATGGCTGATTCTCTCGATCTCATTAACCGTGATCCAAACAACATCAACAATCATTTGCAAGTAAGTATTTTACAAGGTTTTTTTTTTAATAAAATAACATTTCATAAGAATTTATCAAATTGAAAACAAAATGTATATTTTTGCTTTTAATGTTTAAGAAAAAATACATTATCTATAAGAACGTTTTTCTTATATTTTTTGCGGATAACATATTTGGCTACTTTATAAAAACTACATAATAAGAAAATGATTTTATTTCTTAATTTTAGTTTTATTACAAATGTGGAAATCCTTAAGTTATTAAGCACAAATTTATGCTGAAACATCTGTAAAGAAAACATTTTTTGCAACAATATTTCAAGTCTAGATTTTATACGATATGAAATACATATTGATAAAAGCATGATTTACTAACATTTGTATATGTTGCCTAACATTAAAAGTAGCTTAGAACCTTTTTACGACTCATACTATTATTTTATTTATTATTATCATTATTATTAATTTATTTACTATTATTTTAAAATCTATAAAGAAAATTTATTTTGATTATAACATGTTAAAATGTACTCTTTCTAGCAAGAACCTATATATCTCTAATGCTATATAATTTAATACTTTATCATAAAGAAAAAAGAAATATAGACTAGTATTTATTTTGAGTATTGACTAACAATAATGCTGCCTAACATAGCTTTTTTTCGTCATTTTCTTCACGAATTTAATTTTGATCATTCTCATTGAAAGAATCATAGAAATATTTGAATTACAATCATAAAATCTTAACAATTTTCGATCTTTAAAAAACACAGCAAATACAAATGGATTTAAGTGAACACAAAAATGGATATTCGACGGATTTTAAACCATTCGTAGGATTTTAATTTTCACTTCGAAAATGGATTTATAACTGTGTTTTAATTCTTTGTATGGTTTTCGGTCTCACTTTTAGTTTATCATTTCACAGTTATAATAATTTAATTTCGAAAGGACATTAGATTTAACAACATTATAGCAAACCAAGTTAAGCTCCTGGAAAGTATTCCTTCTCTAGAAAATTTTCAAAGGTAAGATACCATTTGATCTTTATCCGTGGTCTGAACAAGCATGTGGTAAATATCTATTAATTGGATGAATTTTAAAAGTGTTAAGCTTTCAAAACTTCTAACATCGTAAAGGATTTGTTTTACGACTATCATCCTAACACAAATTCTCATAGGAAAAGCCTAGATGTAGATAGATAGTTTGGCCAATAGAATAGTTGTTAAAATGAAGTGTTCTTTTTAAATCATCATATTTGTAATACGCATTTTGCAGTGCAATTTTGAAGATGTATTTGCCGAGCCCGAAGGTACCCACAGTATTGACTGCGTTTGGAAACTCTCCTACACTTGCTTTAACTTATGGAAAGGCATCTGTTATAAGATTGCTACAATCCTCTGTGGAATATGCATTGCGGCTGAATGGGGTTGTGACTTTGCTCTAGTTTCTTTCTACCACATCTGGTGCTTCACACCCATCTTCAAGATGTTGGATATCAACTGCGGATGTGCCAAGAAGTTCTACATCCAGTGTGTTAGCTGTTGCATCGAGCCTTGCTGTATGGCATGCGGTCAGCTCTTCCACAATTTTAAGAAATAACTTTATACAAATTGTGACAGACTTTGTTAACATTGCCGAAATTTTCGTTCTAACTTCCTATTCATGTACTATATTTCGTACACATTTCGTCATAGGGATATGAAATTCGTCGATATATATTGGACTTAAGATACATGCAATAACACCAACAATGCATGCATGATGGATTTATTTTTTTAAAGATGGACTAAAACACCGTGGATAAGGCACAACCTTTTGTTTGAAATGAAGACTTTAAATGTCTGAATCATCAAAGGGTAAATTTCTGTGATATGAGAAAATGAATTAATATAGTTTATTTATTAAATCAAATTTGTTTAATTGTTTGTTTTGCTTCATAATTCTGCTTCCAGATATATTGCATTTTTGTACCGCTTATAGGTATTTGCTTCATTATTTCGCTTATAGGTGCATGGATTCATTATTTCGCTTATTAGAAAATGGATTAAGCACTCGCATTTATGAAAATGATTATTTTATCATGCTTGTAAGTACACTGCTTCAGTATTTCGCTTATAGGTAAAGAAAATATTTCATAATACTGAAATCACGATGAACCATCATCCAGTCTTGTTGGAAAAGCAGAAGGTCATCTTTTTGCAATAACTTTTCCCTTTTTGGCTGTTCATATATTCATTTGCGTTTAATATAGCCAATTACACTTATTCTTTGAAAAGGCTCTTTGATGCTATTGTCTGACTTGTGTAATAGGCAAAGGATATATTACATTTAAATGCTATAAAATCATTGATAAATTAAGAATTCATGTGTTATAAAATCATTGGTGAATTAAGAATACAATACAAATTGTAATCAGTCATATTATTCGCCGTTTTTTTATGCATTCTGTATAATGTAATAATTTATTACACTATTTCTAAAACAACGGTGTACTAGTAATAAAAAATATTATCCCTAAAAATAACAGTAGATAAAAAATTTAAATAGCGCTTTACGAAGTTACTTATAAAGCCATTTTTGCATTGGTCTGAAATATCTTAATTCTCAAAATGAAGAAATCTCTTCAGTTCAAATACATATTGATGTATCGAAGAATATTCATATGCAGAGACAACTTGTAAATAAGTAACTTCTTGGTTGAATACATTAAATCATATGAAGTAACTGAATTAATTTATAGTTTATCATTTTCACTCAAATGAACAAATTATACATTAAGCCGAGGATTGTTAGGAAATTATATAGATACACTATTTAGCAAGCAGCCAGTACAAAATGTTATCATTCAACATGTCATGCAATTTAAAAAATACTGAAATTGACAAGGAGAAAAAAGGAGAAGACAATGTGTGAGTATGAAAATTTTATTTGTTCATAGTATTAACACAATTGTAAGTGATACCAGCACAGCTACTCAAATACTTACAAAAACTTATAGCTTGAGTTTGAATGCTTTTATTTCGCTTTTTATATATCATCGCATATAGCTGTTTATGTAATATTTCTTTTATTGCTTGAATGTCCATGTGATTTTTGCTTTTTTATGTTGCGTTTCGCTTTTAGCCATACTGCTTTCATACTTTGATATATAGCTTTTTACGTATAAACTGTTATGGTTTTGCTTTCCAAATATTTCTAACAGTGGATACAGAATACTGTTTGAATAAACGGTGATAACAAGTTAAGTTGCTTAAATCATTCGCTTCTGCAGAAAATTGCTATATACATGTATATATTTAATTGAGTCTGTAAAATGATGTTGATGCGTTATCAATTGTTCACTTTTTTATCTACAGTGCTGCTTTGAAGATGTCCTGGCTGAACCTGAAGGTACCCACAGTATTGACTGTGTGTGGAAACTCTCCTACAGTTGCTTCAACATGTGGAAAAGCTGCTGTTATAAGCTGTCAACAATACTCTGTGGCATATGCATTGCGGCTGAATGGGGATGTGACTTTGCGGCTGCTTCCTTCTACCACATCTGGTGCTTCACACCAATGTTTAAGATGTTGGACATCAACTGTGGATGCATGAAAAAGATGTACACTCAATGTGTCGCCTGTTGCATCGAGCCTTGCTGTATTGCATGTGGTCAACTCTTCCATCACTTTAAGAAATAAAGAAAACTGTGTTAGAATAATAACGACTAACTGTGATAAAATATATATCATTAAACTGTTCGGATAATAAAATCAAAAATGAAAACATAAAAACGAAATAAAAATAACAGTATGAAGAACAGTCGAATGTTTTATATAAAATGTGATATACAATATGAAACGGTTTTAGATATTAAATATATTTATAAACATGCATGTTGTAGGGTTTAAATGTTTCTGTTGAATGTTCAGTCATAACGGGTTTTATCATTTTAATTGCACGGTAGTAAATTCTATAATATGCTCAAATAAATTTGTTTCTTTTATATGTAGCTTTGTTTGGTTGTTAATTTGTTTATTTGTTTGTTTTTGTTTGTATATGAAAACTATAGTATATACAGTCTCAGTCTCAATCACATTAAATGAAATAATGTAAACTCTACTTGTTGATTTTAAATAAATACTGGACCCTTACAAGATTCAAACCGATATCGTTATGGTCATACGATGTCTTTTTAGCTTAACTTGTGGAGAAAGACCTCGGGTGCCCGTCCCATATTTACTTCAGACATGACTGGGCACCTAAGTAGAACCACCATGGTTCCGTATGCTGGCTGAATACCTTCCTTATATGGAAGAATCTAAAGTCCCTGGCGTCATTTGTACCCAAGCGTTGAGGGGGCAAGTGATTTCAACTCAACAACATTAACCACTAGGCCACGTACACCTTTCAAAAGTAATGATCACAAGTAATCAAATACCGATTTGATTTAATTTAGTCTGATAGTTAAGGTGAAGGTCATGAATTTTCGGCAATTGTAGATAATTTCCTTGCCTATCATAAACAAACATCATGACTGACTGGAGCGACAAGAAACATTACCCACATAGCGCTTTTTAAATATAAGGAAAAAAGGTCGTGACTCAAATAGGACTCGAACCGATTATCCCTGGATTGGGAGATTATTTAAATCATTATAGAATAAGCATTTGCTTGTCTAAACATAAGTGTCGCTGTTTTTATTAATTGTATAGACAAACAGTTTCATATGAAAGAAATATTCAGTAGTTATTTTAATGGTTTACATTTGATTTCACTTAATCGGCAATTTTACAAATATTATTCTTTCAATGTAAGAACTGTGGTATGATTTTCAATCAAGATACAAATAAACATTTGAATTATTACAGAAAATCCACTATAGCTGTATAATCTCGTTAATAGCTGTTTATCCAATGTTAAATACTTGTTTGTATAAGAACAAAATAAAACCATTTCAGCGACTTCAAAATCTTTATCATTTGGTGTTAGAAGATAATTAGATAGGTAAATAGATTTAGCGACTCACTCCTTTCTAAGAGTATAGATCAATTATTTTCATACATTTAGAAATATAATTATATCATTAAATTCAAGACAATGAAGAGTTAGCATGAATTAGAGAGTGTTAAGGAACTATATGAAGCAACAAGTGCAATTCCTCGCTTTAACGGTACAGACGTTGCATGTAACATAAATCATGATTGACAATAAAATCCTTTTTACGGAGATTCTCACTGTACTTATTATTTGGCCTGTACAGAAGTAATATCAAATCCTTGCGAATGTGAAGGCACTAGTACTAGTAAAATGCTTGCCAGTCGGCTCTGGAACGATGCGCTGGCTGAACTGTGCTCTGGTAGGTAAGGAATTGGCTTACGGCCGTTATTCGGAAGTTTAACCACAAAAAACACCACTACTGCTTGCTTTAACAAAGTTTATTTTAAAGCGTATCAATTTATTGGTACACAGCAGGTAGAGGTGGATAACTTGTTGTGGATTTTAGTCAATATTAAATCTGTCATTTATAATTAAAAGTTGCAAAATTTATCGCATTTGATGTTTTTATTTAATTATACGGCTAAGATATATCGGCTCAGAGCCGTATTTCCTGACAATTTAGTAATGATCCCTTTAAAATTCCTTGAAAAAGTATATAACGATGAATAAACATTTAGATTAAAGATGAATACATGTCTTTTATAAACATTTGTTTGATTGCCCACTAATACTGATATTGATATTAAAGAATTACGTCTTCTAAATCTTGAATTACGAAAGTCTGACCATGATTTTTAATACTGTGAATTATGTCTATTTATTTTAAACGTCGCCATATGACCTAAACTGTGTCTGTGCGACGTAAAATCCCAATCAAACAATCAAATAATTTTATGATCCAAAGTAGAGGTAAGTATTGTGATAATATACAAACATCTAACAAACAATCCAAGATTTTTTTTGTTCTTACAAAGGCCTACTTCGTATATTAAAAGGATTTTGTATGCATTCTAAGTTACAATTACTGTGTTCGTTAGAAGAGAATAAAAAGTGCAATATCTTTAACAAGCATCTGCAATGAAATATGAAATCTCATATCCTACCTAAAAATACTTATTTAGAATTACGATGAAACAAAAATATATTTGTTAGTCTTGTTAGTCCGTATCACTTTTAAAACTCAACCTTAAACAAGTAAACAACTTTAAAGGGGTTCAACTGAGATTTTTTCTGACATGACGGGACTGGATTGTGATCTAAAGATAAATGCTCCATTTGATGTAAGTCTTGACCAATAACTTGTGTCATATCATTTGCTCACTCCGTTTTTTTCCAGAATAAATATTTTAATCACTAAAAATGACCCAAAACTGAAAAGCGTTGCAACACTTTTCACTTAAATCGTGCTAAGAATACATAGAAATATCATTTTCAATTTATTTCAAAGTATATTTCTTAATTATACTTTTGCATATATGTCTGCTTTAATTGCAGCAGGTGATCTTTGTAAGAAATTAAAAGGCTTGACCTCAGTGGAGTTACTCTTTAATAATATATATTTAGCATACCAAAATATAGAGAAGATGAGCTGTATGTGTTGCATCCCTTGTCGTACATTATGAACAGTACAAGTTTCAGATATGCATATTTATATTCATGAAAAGTGTAGGCTTTTATGCTTCCTTTTTCTATTTTAAACATCCGTCTTCTTTCAAATTAATTGTACATCGTTATTCAGCACGGCTTGATTAAATTAATTCACATTTAACCGTTTAGTAGTGCAATACCACATGATAAAGTACTAATATTTAACACATTTACTTGCCATACATTCATAATAAAGGTATCTAAATTTACATAATACCTTCTTAGATATATGTCGTTGCTTATATTATTACAATAGTAATTGATTCATTTCTATGAAATGTTTGTAGCGAGCATAAGACATATTTGAACTGATCTCGCCCCCGAGTCCACTTTCTGGCACTAAAATGTACTAATGTCATATGAGGTAATATGGCATGATCGTTTGGGCTCGAACTTATAATCCCTTTGATCAGCGGCATACTCCTTAACTCCTCATTTTATAGACAATAAGTTCACTTATAAACAACGATGAATATTCTCATTCAAGTGGTCAGAACATTTTATATGATTCTTAATTATCAGTAAATTTTAATATTACTTTGCCCAAATTCGTTCTCGTTGAGTTGAATTACTTTCTTATATTATACCAAAAATTTCTAATATTTAAGGCTATTTATGAACTATTATATATCCTGACCAAAATGTCCATTTTTCTTTGAGTGTAAGTTGTGAAAGCTATTTCACAGTTAAAGCGGCTTAACCGATTTTCTTGACATCAACTAACATCTTATCTTACCTTTAAAGATTCTTTCGGGGGATGAGCCAAGGTGATACAAACATTAAGAGTAAATATCAATAAAGTCATGTCTTTATGATGAAACAAACTGTCTTAATTTTAAATGTAAATTTACTTTTCTAAAATTGAACTTGATAGCATGTATGAAATGAAAATTACATAAAGACAAATATACCTATGTATACATTGTACCTATATAACAAGTTATATTTCTTTTGTCTTTGTACGATGAGCAAACATACTTAGCTTTAAATTTTGGCAATTATCTTCGCAGTGTCATTTAGCAAATTGTCTTTGGTGCTGTCGGATCGTATAACTCCAAAATGGGTGAAGTCGATCTAGTGAACCGAGATCCAAATAATATCAACAATCATTTAACAGTAAGTTTTCGTCTTATAAAACTGTTAAATATGCTTCTTTTGATTATTTATAACAATACCATTATTTCTTTCTTTCTTGTTTAAAGCAAATTAGAAGGTTAAACATGACATTAACTTAAACGATTACATTTACTGATAATCAAAGACATAGATTTCAACTAACATAATATTGCCTTTAGTCTTTCAACTTTTACATCAGTTTCAACAATTTTGATATCATTGCAAGTATCACAATCCTTTGAATATTTATTGTTCATTGTTTTTTGTTTTTTTAAAAAGCATTTTAACTATGTTTTATTTTTTAATTTTCTCATCTCGTTATTTTAAGATCTTTTTATTGGTTCAAATATTTTAACAAGAACTGTATGCCATATCTCGACTTCTTATGATAAGCACATTATTAATATTACAAGCAAACTTGTATGTTTTTTATATTGTTAAAAATTTGTTTTATCAAATGCCGTCATAAGATAAAGAAAAGTATCTTTAGCTAACCATTCTTTCTTTGTTTCTTATAAAGTATCTGCCTTCATGTTTGTATTTTGTTATGTGTTTTATAAATATTATTATTGTTGTTGTTGCCTTTTTGTTCTATTTCATTTTATTGATTTATTTACTCTTGATATACGACATACTTTTTTTTAACAGTGCCAGTTTGAAGATGTATTGGCCGAGCCTGATGGCACACACAGTATTGACTGTGTTTGGAAACTCTCCTACAGCTGTTTCAACCTGTGGAAGAAGATATGCTATATAGTCTTTACCACGTTGTGCGGGATCTGTATTGCTGCTGAGTGGGGATGCGAATTTGCGGCAGTCTCTTTCTGGCACATCTGGGCATTCACACCTCTCTTCAAGATGTTTGACCTCAACTGTAGTTGTTTGAAGAAACTATGGGCACAATGTGTCAACTGCTGCGTTGAACCGTGCTGCATGGCTTGCGGAACCGTGTTCCATATGTTCAAGAAAGCTTAATTTCTGACAAATTGTAAAAAAACTTTTGAATTTTGTTAATGTCAGTATTGTTGGCAACTTATGATGCGACTATGACTTTTTGTCAGTTTGCAGATATTTCTAGGAGAATGATATTATACTTTGACGACATATTTTGGTTTAATTCGTTTGATTCAATTTGAAGTTTTCAAAAAGGATTCATACTGGATGGGAATGAAATGTGTCGGCTTTATCTTAATATCTTTGTTGTTCTCTGTTATCTTTCATTAAATTTGGTTAAAAGTGTTTGTTATCTTTAATTAAATTTGGTTAAAATTCTTTGTTTATGTTATTATTTCTTTTAAAAGGTAATTTTGGGTGAGCTTCGGTTTGGCCGGAAGATAAGTGCTTGCTGTTTTTGTTAACACATGTGCAATGGAAAAAATACAATTCTTCGACAGACTACTGTTAATTCTTTATGGGAACAAAGAACATTATAAAATAATTATTTCGTTTATCGTGCATAAACAATTAGTCATTATTTCAGTCATAATCATTTTAGCCCGATACTTGTAGGATAAACATCCTGAATAAGATATCATCATAACATTAGCTCTGACACTTCTTCTTCGGTCAGGTGAGAATTGATTGTCCTAAATATGCAACAGTTTGTCGTTGTAAATCGTATTGTTAACCATCTGCCTTTGAACAGTTACCTTATTGTAAAGCATGAGCGTATAGTGCAAAATATGATAAACACGATCAACAAGGAAAGGCGGACTAAGTTCAATGAACGCAACCCCCACACGACCCAGCAACAAGGACCAGCGTCAATTAGCTCAAGAGGACCCCAAACAAAACAGGATTACTTAAGCAGTCATGTACATTATTCAGCAGCTTATATAAACTAAGACGGAAAACATAAACGACACAGTGCATATTACATAACACTTCTTCTATCAGTGATATATGAAAAGGCATAGATACCGCACACATATGTCGACTTTCAAGTGAACCAAATGTGGTATTTCAATATCGTTAACATAAAACAATTTAATAGTTAGTGTCTTTTCAACTTTTCAATACTGTCGAGTAGAATAAGAACATTTCATCATTTTGAATCACCTGATAAGGTGCCATATTATCTTTTTTATCCTTTAAAGCCAATTTAGTGAATGACCGTTAAGACTGTACTATCCTTTAATAAGCAAAAAACAAGAAACAATGAAATGATTTTTTTTTCAAGAATTTTATTTTTTCTCAAACGATAGATATATAAAAACATGAACATAAAACGTGAATATAAAATGAAAGAAAACAAAAAAGTAATAATGTTTTCTAGATAAACATCATATTTTGTATACTTTTAAATATAATACTTATATTACAAATATCAATTTTGAAAACAAAGTGATTTCTATTAACAAAGCGTCATTTGTTATCCTCAAAGTGATATTGAATCTAATGTTCTTTTCAGACTACTACGAATACCATCTCATACAATTAAGAAACATTTAAAAACTTTATACCAAGAAAAGAATTACCATGCGTAGAGACACACTCTCAATCAAACAGATAACCAAAATAGTCACTAACAGCCCGTTACAGCGCTTGTTTCTCCATTTTATTTTTATATACTAAAATGCAAGAATATATCTTTCTAATTCGTATCAAAAATACAATTGTTCTTTTAATATCAGATATTTATTTTAGTGACAAACTTTGTTTTGCATGAGAAGAGCAGACAAAAAAATCAGATAATATCCTATATGAACAAAAAACGAAAAAAACACAGTGCATAGTTAGTCAAATTTCTTTCGATTCTGTTTATCATGAGATGTTTGAAAATGCAGCAATAGAAAAGGCACAATTTGTGTCGAGCTTAAAGTGAGTTATAAAAATTCTGATGTATTTGTAAAAACAGTGAGCTTTATATTATGTTTTCCAAATGTGAGTTAAAAATTTGATAGCTGATATTGAAAATATATTATGACACAGTGTCTCGGTTCATTACTTTGAAAATCAATATAACATTAAACATAACTTCTGCAGACAATTTCAAAAATGCTGTGCTGAATACAACTATAATCTAGCTTTAATTTGTAAGATATTTATCAAAAACAATGTGTAAAAGATAATTTAAAAAACATTATCTCAAAAGAAAGATATATAAAATAAATGATATAATTTATGTAAATACGTTTCTGGACGGATATATGACAGATCACTAAATGTGAATATCACAGAATCGCTTTTTTCAAACATGTTCATTTTTTACCGTTCTTATTGCATTTTATTAAGAACTTAAGATACGCAACAGTGAACTTATCTTACCAATCTCGTTATTATCTTATGTATAGTCAGTAAGTTAACATATCCATTGCATAATATCATAACACGCTTTACTGCTCATAAGTGATTACCACACATTCGATATCAACATGTTTCCTTTATCATTTATAATCATTAACAAGAAGAAAAAAAACATTAACGAGGTTTAAAAATTTATTACTGTATTTATTAAATATCACTAAATTTTGTAAAATATCAATACAACACATTGTCCTTTATTCCACTTAATGTGTCAAACATCAAATAAGACCATTTCTTATCAAAGATTTCTGTAAAACACAAAGTTGACTTTTATTACACACATGTACAAATAAACACCGCATTAAAAATGTTCACAATTTGAAAAAAAAAGTCAATGGCACATGTCTAACTTCAACAGTTCATGGTCATCTTTATATCGGTATATTCAATGCTATTCCGAGATATTCCAGGTATTAACAAGGAAAGCACTATTTAAATCATGCAACTGAAATAATAATGACTTTGTCGTTTTGCTATCAGGTTTTTTTTTTAATATTCCAGTATAACAAATCCTTGATCTTCGAATGTCATTGAGCTTAAGTAGAATAAAGATATTCCTCCTTTAAAAGAGAAGAGGTGATATTTTCTGTCCAAAGAAAATAAGAATGGTGAAGGAGGTTTTAAGGAAGTTCTAATACTCTTTAACTTACTGCTTCTTAAAAGCATTGAATACTTGTCCACAGGCTTCACAACATGGTTCGATGCAACATCCACAAATGGTTTCGTGTATTCTCTTCAATATACTGCAATTAAGCTCGAGCATGCGCAAACACGGAGTGACGGCCCATACATGATTAAAGGCTACACCTGCAAACTCACAACCCCAGCTGGCGGCTATACAAATACCGCAGCAGAGAGTGCTGAGCTTGTAACACAAACTCAACCAAAGGGTAAAGCATTTGTGCGAGAGCTTCCACACGCAATCCATACTATGAACACCTTCTGGTTCTGCGAGCACATCTTCGAAACAGACCTGAAAACAAATTTATAGATAGAATGTTTTATCAGTTTAACCATGTTGAACCAACTTAAAATATTTTTGTTTAGATATTGAAGGACATGAGTGATAATATGGAAGGCCAAATTATATTTTGTGCTACCAATCATGCTCTTTTTGGTTGGTTTAGTAAAGAAAATATACTGTCATGTTCTTTTGTTGTTCATTTTTTTTAATTTAGATAGAATGACTTTGTCATTTCATACAAATAAAATGTGTCAATTAAATAACATCAATGATGAAAATGGTTTCCTCAGCACATAAACCTAACGATATATTTTCACCTATTTTATTACTTTCTGAAATACATAAAATAAGGTTTATTGTTAATTTATTATCTATCGTACTTGCTCTTTTTCAAAGACAACACAAAAGTGCTTTTTTAAAGCTGGGTACTATAAGCATGAAAGATAATGATTGAAATACATATATTTTAGAAACAAACGACTCAAATGTTTTAACTTTAGTGTATTCTATTCTATCGGCAACTGATGATGTCAGCATATGCGACCAGTAGAGTCTAAGATAATATCTGGGAAATCCGTGCCGACTGATCATGCCCTGAACATTTCGCTATTCAGTAGTTCGTACTGTAAAATTTCCTCTAAAAGTTTTGAAAAGTTGGGCAAGTCAAATTAATATATTTAGCGTGGAAAGGGTTTAAGTACTTGACGAAAACGTTTGTGAATAACAAATGTACTTTTAGTTTAGTGTATAATATTTTATTTTAGTTCGATTGTGTTGGAAGCTATAAGCTTGTTGAAACACTCTCTCTCTCGAATCCGTTCCTGGGCCCAACCAGAACTTAGCAACGAGTGTAAGGTTATTTGCTAATGAAAACCATGGCTTTTCCCTGACAACGGTTTGAACCCTCTGTGCCAGCAGTCCTTAGATAATTAGTCCGACGAAATAGTCACTTGGCCACACCGCCACTCGTAAATGTAGTTTTTAGCAACGTTGTCGTTTATTTTTAATATTTTAATTTAAATAAAATATAAAATAAAAATAAAATATTTTCACATTCAGATCTAGAAATATATTTTTCGTATCGTTTTTAAAATAGGTTTTAACAAACTGTTTGACCCGTTATTCGCATAGCGCATAGATCATGAATATTGATATTAAAATTAAAATTTAATTTAATTTTTTGATTTTTATTTTGAAGAAATGCTTGATTTACAAACGACCATGTAAGAAGACAAGCAATTTACAATCTATGACACTGTTTATAATTTAATTTAAATGCAATTCTATAAAAAATGAAAATTCTTATAAATATATTACCTTTATATGGTCGTTAATGTTATTAGGGTCTCTGTTAATCAAGTCTACGTCACCCATCGTGTCAATTTTATTACTCTCTTACTAAAATTCAAGCGTTAATCTTTAATAAACACAGAGTAAGCAACACCATTGGAATCGCGCGGAGCACTGACGTTCGTTTATTGAAACGTAAAATATAAATACGGCAGAGACGGAATGAATAGGCGGTTACCAACGAAACATGTACATTATTGATGACGGTGTTGAACTTGTTGGTAGGACCAGATTCTTTTGTCTTCGATACAGACTTGGTGATTTTTCCAATGGCCATGAAAACGATAACTTGGCGCTCGCTTAATTGTTATAATATTCAATAGTTTAAGTTTCATATTCATGATAGAATGCCAATATACTTTTTTCTTTCATTATGGATAGAGCTTTATTTCCTTGAAGCGGATATTTTTTTCGTTATTTATGTTCATTTTCAGCGTCACCGATACGGCTTCCAATTATTCTGAAATTGTTAGCTTATCCCTTTTTATGAGATTTGTTTATCTCTAAAAGCTCGAGCATGCGCAAACAAACACATACATATTCTGGTTAATATTCCTCTGAATTAATAGCTCGGGACGGGTAATGTTGATTTTTTAAAATTGTGTTTTTATCTGTATGCAAACAACTTAAACTTTAGCCATAATATATCCACTCTATCAACTATCAAATACTACAGTCGAACTGAATTCCCTCGAGGTCGGGTAGCTCGAATACCAGGTTTCGGTCGAACTAAATGTCAGATCCCGTATTATCTCCTTCTTTATATCCTATGTATAAATAATATACTTGGAAACAACATACCATTGAAGGAAGTTTTCAGTAAGTTATTTAGACTTAAGGGGCATGGAATGGAGTTATTATATGTTGTTGTATTTTGTTGTTGTCTTTGTTGTTGGTTTTTTACAAAATTGAGCAAGATAAAGAATAAGAACACTTAACAAGAACAATCATTTATTTCAAGTCCAGTACATGTATTGTTAGTTATGTTTGAAAATATAATACATGTATATAATGATACAATTCTTTTTTATATACAATGTCCTCTTTTTGAATAATAGATTAATTCACATTGGCAAATATTTTGGTATCTATTTAAAAATGATTTCTTTCTTATTGTTATGCAAATAACTGATATATTAAAGAATACAAATTTTCTTTTAAAAAAGTATTTACAGCAATGTCGGTTAAAAATATTAAACACAAATGAAATCAAAGTTTTGTAAACAATTGTAAGCTAAATCGATTCTTTATACAGAATGCCTGTAATCAAATTTCTGCTCAGAAATCAATAAATTTTCATTTAAATTGTTACGTTACGCTTAAATCAAGACAAACATATAGTCAATCAATGCCATAAAATAAGAACGCCAAATCTGACAACACACGGCAAAATAGAAATTGCTTAAGTACAAAAATTGAATATATTGACCGTGAAAGACAAAATATTTGCTATGCTTAGATCTCATTTCCTAACATTTACGTCATTTGTTGTCATTAGAATTACATACTCTAGTTACCTGCCGTGAAATTAATGTTTTTGATCCCATCGATTTCAGAGAAATTTCCGTAAAAAAGTAATCATAAAAGCCAAATAATAACAATATAAAGAACTGTGTGACGATAATTATGTATATAAAAATAGAATCTAAAAATAAGAAACCAAAAAGATCGGAAACAACCATCGTATCACAGTATTGCTCTATAAAGATTCACACTTAAAGTTTTCATTTATTCACTTCTGAATTTGAAGTTTACAACCTGTACAGTTTTGAAAAGGTTTAACATATCTCAATGACGGCATTTTTTAAGGCGTCATTTAATATTAGCACTCGACACAAAACAGTACATTTATCACAAAAAAGAGAAAGCCAAAACATACATTGCCACATAGTTTTGCTCGATAAACATTCGCACTTCAGATTTGATTTTATTCGCCTCTAAGCTGGGTATCTTACTGTACATAACTACAAATGTGCCTAGGTCCCTACATGGACCTTATCTGTCTTATTTGAATTATTAGTTTACCAATTAAATTTACGATTTTTTTCCGGATGAAAATATCTAATTTGTATTTTAATTCATTTTTTCCATGAAGAAGATCTTGATTGTGATTAATTGTTTGTGAAAAGGCGGCTGCTTAATTGATTATGAATCTTGTCTTTCTTCAGCTCAGAAAATATTTTACAGTTATCACAAATATATACACAAATATATACTTATATATATACACAAATATGTACACAAATATGTACACAAATAGGTACAAAATATTATAAAAAGGCAACAGCTTTTGTTACTTGTTTAAATATTGCTAAAACATGTTAGAAAAGAAATCTGTTATGGACCAGGTTATCTTTTAAACTGACATACAAGCTTTTCATTCGTGGTTTTTAAGTGAATTAAAAATCTTTGACAAATAAAAGCATACTGGCTGAGTTTAAACTAAACATTGCACTTGTCATTATTTTCATTGAATGTATGATATATCCATCAATAAAAATTGATTTCATTAAATGTAAAGGAAAAATTCAACAGTTTCGCTGTAATGGATATTCTACTTCTTTTCAAACATATGGAAAATTTTCCCGCAGGCAAAACAGCATGGTTCGATGCAACATTGGCATATGGTCTCGTGCAATCTCTTGAAAACGCTGCAGTTGATCTGGAACATGTGCAAACAAGGTGTGATAAACCATACATGGTAGAAAGCAACCTCTGCAAACTCACATCCCCAACTTGCGGCTATACAAATACCACAACACAGTGTGCTGAGCTTGTAACATAAACCGAGCCAGCAGTTGAAGCACGTGTATGACAGCTTCCAAACGCAGTCGAAACTGTGAGCATTTTCGGGTTCTCCGAGAACGTCTTCAAAAGAAACCTGAGATATAAAAATTATAAATATGTAATGTATAGTAAAAATGGCGAAGTAAAAAGATGTTCACAAGTGCCTAAAAGCCATAAATGCTTATGACATGACTTTCATGCCCCCACTTGCGAGTATATTTTAGCCCTTGTCCACCCCTCAGTCCCGCTGCTGTGCTGTCCCGCCGTCCGGTTGTCCAACTGTCAGACTGTCCGTCTATAGACTGACAATACAGTGAATGTTTCGGTCACCCGTGTCCGATGAACACATTTCTAAGTCAATATAAAATTGTACTGTGACAAAACAAACGTTTACATTGCGGACAGTAAACTGTAGGTAAGGAAGTGCGAAATAAGACATTGTGCAAAATTTATTATTTGAAATGATATATATATAAAATACAATTAATTCAGGAATCATTGTGATCTGTAGGTCATTCTTTTAAATTAACTGAATGTCTACACTGATAACCCAGGAGTATTTTTTAAACCGCAAAAGGGAAATAAAAAATGTTTCACTCACATTATGAGAATGCAAAATGAAACTTGTTGTTTGTTTGTTTGTTTTGTTTTTTTTTTTGTTTTTTTTTTTTTTTTTTTTTTTTTTTTTTTTTTTTTTTGGGGGGGGTGTTTCGTTTTTATTGTATTCCATATATTCATTCCATTTTGTCTGTAAGTATATTAAAACTTTAATGTTCTGAACACCGAAGCTTTAACAGTATAGTAAAGTATTACAATATCAATACCAGTGATAAAACATTACATTGCAATTTCAATAGCACAATGTAACAATCACTTTTATTTGCTATCTGTTGATGTAAATTGATTTTAGAATCAATACACTATTCCGGATAAATAATTAAGTCATTTATATTAAAGCACATGGATTTAAAACAGTTACGCTTTGGTATGTTGAAAATTGAGAAGTTAAATCTTTCAACAAAATATTGTGAAAATAAAATGTTCAACAAAAAAACGTGATTAATATCTTCAAAATATTTTTACAATTTGTGGAGAGATCTATTTATACGTAATGCTCAGTCTAACATTGAAAACATTTGGTCTTATAAAAAATTCTGGAAACAAAGTGATCCCTCGGAAGCATTAATGACAACAAAATAACATAAGAATTGCAGACTCGGTTTGATTGAGTCTGTACATGAGAGATAACGAATAAGTGCAACATCCCTTTCGCCCCCTAGCACCGGCTTGAGCGGTACTCAATTCTCAACGCTTAATAGTGTTGACATCAAAGGTTATTTGAAAAAAATTTAAATAAAAAAAGACAAATAAATTCAATAAAAAATCTTATATAAAGAAAAAAAAATTTTGTTCTTGTTTTGATTTTTCTGTCGGGATGTCAATTCCCTAGTGTGTCAAATTATTTCTACAAATGTTTTGTAAAAGCTAATTATTCAAGACGTAACACCGCTTTTCTATGACACAAAACTGCAAAACCTGTTGTAGCGGTTGATAATTTTTAGGACACTATTTATAATGTTTCTGATAAAATGTAACAAAGACTTCAATCAAATAATAAAAAACATATATTCAAAAGCATTTTACCTTAAGTGACCCATTAATGTCGTTTGGATCTCGGTTTACTAAATCCACTGTCATTTCAGTCGTTCAATTCTTTACTTTCTTATTGCGAATGAACCACTTTCAAAAAGGCAACCTCTGGCGTCAGCAACACTTTAAAAATGATGTTGATCAGCGTAATGCATAACAAACACCTGTTACCAAAGTGATAGGTAAATTATTGATGGAGATGGCTTATAAGAGATTCTAGCGTGACTAGTGTCTAAGTGTGAACAGCACTAACAGCGTTCATGCTTGCTTGGTCATTCAAATAGATATTGCCTATATTCTTATTTCGTTACAAGCCCTTTAAAGTTGATTTAATTGCGTAATTGATTACTTTGAAAATCCATTACAAAGATCATCAAGAGCATATTTTAAACGAATATGTTACGTGTCGACTGCAAATCACAGATAGATAAACCTTTCTTTATCTGCACACCGTCACAGCTATTACTTTTGATATAGGTATTACATTAAATCATTATCTGAGCAATTACACATTTATATGCCTGAATATATTAAAGAATGAACCAAAATTTCGAATTCGGTTTCTCACACACCCCTCTGAATTCGATTCCTTAAGAACATTTTCAAGACAGCTTAAGCAGATGTACGTTTTTAAATCAAACTGGTAATTTTTGCATAAGACTAGATGTAATCATAATTGTTAAATAATAA